TATTTAAATTTGTAGACCTTCATTTATATGTATATAGACTCTACATAGATACTTTTTTATTTATTTTTATTTTTTGATTTTATTTTATTTATTTTTTTTTTGACTTTTAAAATTTTGGCGGGAATCGGGTCCTAAAGGCTTATAAGCCCTAGCTCAAGCCCCTTTACATTAGTAAAGGTTGAAAATAACTTAAAAGAGCTGGACTCTCCCTCATTAAAATAAGATAGGCTAGTTTTATTAACATATATAGATATATAGGATAGATTAGTTTTTATTTTGCACTTGACACTGACCCCCCTTTACAGGGTCTAAAAAACATTTTATAAAGGGACAACTTTCCCCGATCCACTTACAATAACCTACACTACACACCGCACTCATACACACTCACATAATTAACATGTACCGCACACTGACGACCTCTGGCGCTGCCAAAAAGCCCACCACTCCTAGCCCTGCTACCATAACCGCAGCAGCGCAGGATGCCGCTAGGACCTTTATCAAAAGACCAGACGCCAAAAGAAGGTCACTCGATAACATGGACGTATACAAAAAGCAGCAAGAGAACTACGCTGCATTACCGAGTAATCAGCTCCTCCAGGAAATAATGAAAACCTTCGAGGATATACCCTCGAAGGTCAAGGAGTACCCTCAGATGAGGAGAGACATAAAACATTTCCTGGAGGCGCAGTCAGATAAAGGCATACGAGCAATTTTCGAGCTCAGTAGGCGTATCCAAAGCCTCGAAGCAGAGGTCCCAACAACAGGGACACCTATAAGAATCTCGTCGTCCAATGGGCAGGATGTCATCCTCAGGAAAATGGGAGAGGTGGAAGCGGCACTGACCGAGCGCATAGATGAGATGGAGCGAAGTCTGAAAACGGACATAAAAGGACTCAATAACAGCAACGATGACCGAGGCTCCGACATGATCGACAAGATCATCGACAGGATCGACGAGACCAGAGCTGCTGTAGACCAAACGGCCGAAAAGGCCGAAAGTCGAACGCAGGCTCTCTTCAAAGATCTGGTCGGTGGTATTGCCGATGATGTCGTCGCAGCCAAAAAAGAACTCATGGAGGTTGCAAAAGGACTGGCATGCGGACTAAATATAGCCCCAGTCCCTAAGACATACGCCAGCGTCGTAGCAGCCAAACCAGCCCACCGCCCCGCACTTCACTCGATGGCGGTCACCTTCGAAAGTGGTCTGGAGACTGCTGACGAGGTGCTCGCCAGGGTGAAAAAAGCGGTCGACGCTAGAGGCACTGGCCTTAAAATTAACAAGGTTCGTAAGGCCAAGAACCAAACGGTAATATTGGGTTGCGACACAGAAGAGGAGATGAAAAAAGTCCAAGAAATTATAGAGAGTCGCGGAGATGGACTGAAAGTAGCGCCTATGAAAAATAAAAAATCCTCTCGTTGTCCTTAAAGATGTGTTTTTGGATAGCGAAGACGATAATATGATTAAGGCGCTCTACGCTCAAAATAAGGACATTTTCGTGGGCCTACCAGAAGAAGATAAGGAAATGGTGGTAAAATTTAAAAAACGCACACGAAATCCTAAGACATTGCACATAATCTTACAGGTGAAGCCTAACGTATGGCAGAGGATGACGGAAGCTGGAGCCCTCTATCTGGACCTTCAAAGGGTCAGAGTCGAGGACCAGTCTCCGCTCATCCAATGCACGAAGTGCCTCACATTCGGCCATGGTCGGAAATTTTGCACCGAGAGTGTGGACAAATGTAGTCACTGTGGAGGACCGCACCTGTGCGAGAAATGCGCAGATTTTACCGCAGGTAATGAACCTCAGTGCTGCAATTGCTCACACTCTGGGTTGCGGAAGACCGACCACAATGCGTTTAGTGCTGACTGCCCGGTACGCAAAAAGTGGGACTACCTGGCTCGTGCAAACACAGCCTATGCCTGATCCATACGCAGGAAATCACATTACACGTACACACAACCACAAAGCACACGGAAACATAAACACGACACATACAAACACGAAATACATGACAAAACGAACACAACTGATATACAGAATGTATATTAAATATATACACGATTATATCAGCACAGGAACACTTACATACACCACAAACATTAACACAAAACAAAAGAAAAAACAGTACGAAATGAAATTAGCAAAAGAAATGGACAATAAATATGTATAAGTTACTATATGTATGTTATTGCCTAGACAAAAGCGTTTTCAAAAATATAAAATAAAGCACAAAACAGATGCAACAAAACAGAAACTCACTAATCCTGCTGAATGTACTACTGTAAAGATCTGGTAAAATTGTAAATTGCAAATTAATGATTATATTTTATATATGTTCTTACTGTTGTACAAATAACAATTATAAGTATAGAATTAAGAAACTGTAATAGAATGTTAGAAATAAGACAATAGAGAATAGTAGGTATATAATGAAGTTAGATCTATAAATTTAAAAATAGAACTAAGAAATAAGAAAAGTAGGAACTAAGAAATATAATGATAAGTAAAATAGTTAAAAGAAAGTACAATAGTCGTAGGTTAATAAATATGTTAAATTAGGAAATTTGTAAATTGAATAAAAATAAGTATGTAGAAATTGTAAGATGCTGAGTCTAAATAATATTGAAGACTAAACAGAAAATAAAATAAAGTGTAAGAAACCTTATTTTCCCGAATAAAATAAAAATAAGCATAGAGTAGCGGGAGTCCCACCCGGCAAAGAATGAGCGTGGATGGATATAAGAAAGACTAAGTATGCGGCTTGAAAGTGTGAATACATGCGAGAACTGGAATGCATGAGTTAACTAGATTACTAAGGACCCGGTGATCCCATGATCGGGGAAAAGCAAAAAAAAAAAAAAAAAAAACCTAACCTAACCTAACCAACTACATATGTAATGTCCTAACAATTATAAAAAAAAATGTAATAAAGGGTACGGACTACGAGTCTGTAGAGTAGAAATAATAATAAAAAAAAAAAAAACCTAACCTAACCTAACCTAACCTAACCTAACCAGTTGCGCTCTAAACGCTGCCCCGTACGCAGTACTTTTGAACCGCGCCGCGATTGAAAATCAAAGTTATAGGTCAAAGTTAACCGATATCCAAGTGCTATACACCAAAATACGCGTGTTACTGAGACGAATATAGTGACAGTTTTGGAAATGTGAAAAGTGCGTAAATCGCGAAATTATTAAGGAAAAACAAATTTTTCCTAACCTAAAAAACTTTAATGTTAAACGCTGCCGAAACAAGATCTATGACATAGCAGTTTATTACTGTCAAAAGAAGCGCCATCGCAGGCTTCATCATCAGCGACCTTCACTGGATTTTTCTGACATCTGTGCGTGAAAATATCGCCAGAAAAACAAAACCACGTGGACACGTGTTCCCAGAACAACATGTCTGCGGCTGATTTTGACAACGTGGTTATAAAGAGCGTACCAAAACAAAACGTCTGACACCTCGAACTCGAAAATCTGACGAGAAACCGAGGAGATATAGAGCTTCAAACATACGGAGTTATAACCGAAAATTTCAAAACTGAAAAACTCAAAATTTTCAGCGAGGACCACAAGATTTTCAGTTGATATATAAAAGAAGACTTTAGGACCTACGCATCGACTGAAAAATTTCAGTATTTGGAGCGCATATATTTAAATTAAGTAAGATTTTATAAACACGTGTTAGGCTGAAACCATCCCTGAAAATTCTGAAAAAATTTGGGAAAAACAGCTAGGGTTAAATAAGATATGTCAAATTTTTTCAAAATTTTTTTGCCAAAATTACTTGAGTAATAAGCTATTTGCGGTTTTTGGTAATGGGTTTATGATTTTCAAAATTTTAAAACACAAAAAATTTTCAGTACACAAATTTTAATTACTATATATCCCGAAGGAAAATTTTATCCTTAATATTACACAAATTTTTTAAAAATTTTTGACCCATTAGTTTTGGATATATTATTTTAAGTTAAAGAGCTGGGAGGTCCTGAAAACTCCGTTTTAACTGTGTTTTCAGTTTACGGGAGAACGGAGCCTCCTAGCTCAATTCTGACAAAATTTTCCTTCGCCCCCCCCCCCCCCCCGTCACCCCCCCACACTGTCCAGCTAACGGATAGTCTTCGACCCCCACCGGATCATTTGGACATAGTTTCAACCCCCCTACCCCAAAGTCGACTGCTGGACTTAGTCTCTGGGGGATGATAATCTTAAATTAGTTATAACTCACCAATTATTGTACTGATCCGAACGGGGTTTTTTCCTAAATTATTTAAATCTGTACATCTGCACATCTGTAGATCTTTCAGCCTACACGTAGACAGACTCTACATAGAGTCTTTAAAAAAAAAATTTTACTTTTATAAACTGAACAAAAACCTAACTAGGAATATTATTAGAGTAAGATAATTTAGATTTATATAGTAAGTAAGACAAAAGGGACGACTCTTGGTAGAGCTAAGCGGACTTCCAGACAATTTATACAACTTTTACAATTTTCAATTTTTAGGTTAATAAATTATTAAATGTGTATTTTATAAAATAATAACTGGAAATATGAGAATTTCTGGGTAGAGCAAGTAGCATTTAAGATTATAGAGATAAAGACAACTCTAGTTAGAGTCAAATATAGACAATAAAAGTTGAAGTTTTTAAAGAAATATTTACATTGTATTGTAAGTAAATAAGAACGAAAGTAGAGTCGCGACCCATAAAAAAGACGCGAAATTTGTGTTTCCTCATTGACTGGAAAAACTTGCAATATTTGCCTTGATTATACGTTTTTGTAACTTTTACAAACTTGAAATTTTATTTGACTCATTGATTTGAAAAATTTGCAATATTTGCCTTGATTATACATTTTTATAACTTTTACAAACTTAAAATTTTTCTTATTATTTAATTTATTACTATTTATTTTATTTTATCGTCTTATTGGGCGCATATTAATCAAAATTAGTTTAAGTATTGACAAAGCCCTCTGAATCTAAATAAAATGTACAAAACACCCCCGCAAAATAAGTCTGCAGCTTCGACGGAGGACTTTAATAAGAGGACCGAAAAACCAGTACCCACGGGTGGGAAAGACAAAGGGTCAACATCTTCGGTAAGGAAAAGCATTGGTGAGCTGGAATCACGTCTTGGCGCTGCACCAAAAAACATTAAAAAAGCACAACAACACTGCCGACGAAGCAAAATACAAAAACTCCTACTGCAAATGGGGGTGATGACAACCAAGTGGATAGAGAAACGACCCAGTACTCAAATAGAGCACAAGAAGCAAAAGCACACTTGGTAAGAATAAAATTACTATTAAATAGTTCACGTAACTTAAAGAACGAAATAAAAGACGGCATAATAGAAGCTGCAGACAAATTATATGGTATGACAAAAAATATGGAACAAGGAAAAGGACAAAGCATTGAAAAGAAAAAATCAGGTATAGGGAAGTGTCATGAACTGGAGCACGAATTAATAAGAAAATTAAAACAACATACCGAATTCCTATCCGAATGCAGAACAGAGACCCAACGCTTGAGTGAAGAGGTGAAAAAACACAGGGAGGAGCTCATCACCTATGCAAGTGTTACAGCAACCAGAAGGCAGCCCCAGGAGTCTATCTCGACCGTTCTTAAAAACACTACGAGTATACCCGCTCAAATGCACTCTATCATAGTCACGTCAAGCAATGAAAAGGACACGAGTGGCGAAGTCCTGGAAAAGATAAGAGTGGCAGTAAATGCAAAAGAAAGCGGGTTAAGGGTAGAGAAAGTAAGGAAAGCTAAAGACCAAAAGGTGATCGTGGGTTGTGGAACCAGGGAAGACATGGAAAAGGTAACAAGCCGACTCAAAGCCTGTGATGCCGAGCTTTCTGTTGTGGAGGCCAAAAGCAAAGATCCACTGGTCATACTGAGGGATGTATTACTGATCAACACCGACGAGGACGTAATCGCTGCTATTAGGAACCAGAACAAGAACTTGCTGGAAACTCTGAATAGCGAGGAGGTAAGATTGGTAGTACGATTCCGGAAAAAGACCAGAAACCCCCACACAAACCATGTGATCCTTCAGGTCTCTCCAGCGGTATGGAAACGACTGGTTGAGGTGGGTCGTGTGCACGTAGACTTACAACGTATTGTGGTGACTGACCATTCACCACTGGTACAATGCTCCAGGTGCCTCGCGTATGGTCATGGCAAAAGGCACTGCAAGGAAGCAGAGGACATATGTTCTCATTGCGGAGGACCCCACTTGAAGACCTCATGTACTGCTTTCTTGGCCGGGGAGGTGCCTTCATGCAGTAACTGCACCAAAGCGAAGATGGATCGTCAGGATCACAACGCTTTTAGCAACGAATGCCCTATACGTAGAAGATGGGATGCAATTGCCAGAACCAGCGTAGCATATTGTTAAGGTGGAGTTCGGAAATAGAGGCACAGAGACAGAAAGTCGGTCCATAGCAGAAAAAAGAAAAATTTTAGTGGCACAAGCAAATTTACAAAGGAAAGAGCTAGCAACGAGCGAGTTAATGCTCGAAGCGAGCAAGAGAGGTATGAGCTTTGCCCTAATTCAGGAACCGTACGTGGGGAGAATCGGGTATATGAAAGACTATCGGGGAGCACGTATATTCCAGAGCGCTCAGAGAGGAGAAGGAGTGGTGAAAGCGGCAATAGCTGTTTTTGATGAAAACATCAATGTTACTCAATGTCCGACTCTCACTACGAATAACATCGTGGTGGTTAAAATAAAAGTGAACTCCCTTGAGATAGGACTGATTTCTCTGTACCTGGAACCGGATTCACCCATCGAGCCTTACATTTGCCAACTTAAAGAAATAGTGATAAAAATGGGCAAAACGGAAGTACTAATAGGAGGAGATACAAATGCGTGGAGCCCATGGTGGGGAAGTGCGAAGGAAGACGGACGTGGAGAAGCGCTTGCAGGTGCGCTTGATGAACTCGGTTTACACGTACTAAATGAGGGAGACCTGCCAACATTTGACACAATCAGAGGTGGCAAAAGATTCAGTAGTTACGTTGACATTACAGCGTGCTCTGAAAATCTTTTAAAATTGGTGGATGACTGGAAGGTAAACGAGGACATAACAAGTTCGGACCATAACACAATACTATTCAAAATTAAAAACATAAAATCTTCTGGCAAAATAATTAAACGGACAACAAGGATATACAATAGCAAAAATGCAAAATGGAGTCAGTTTCATGAGAAACTGACTCAATTATTGACTGAAAGAAAAATCAACAAAACAAAAATAGACAGTATAAGAAATAACATAGATTTAGAAAAACATTTAGAGCAATATTTAGAAGTAGTAAAAGAAGCATGCGATGCTACAATTCCAAAAAAGAAAAATCAAACAAAACTTACCTTGCCGTGGTGGAATGATGAGCTTGCTCTACTAAAGATAGATGTCACCACCAAAAAGCGCCGAATAAGATGTGCTGCTCCCGTGCGTAGAGCCGATGTCGTTGCAGCGTACCTGGAAGCGAAAAATACATATGAATATGAATCAAAAAAGGCTCAGGTAAAAAGTTGGAAAGAGTTCTGCAGTAGACAGGACAGGGAAGGTTTGTGGGACGGGATATATCGGGTTATCGGCAGAACTACAAAAAGGCACGAAGATCTGCCTCTTTTGAAAGACGGGAAAATACTCGATAACACCGAATCGGCAAAAATGTTGGCTGAGACCTTTTATCCGGAAGACCTAGTTGAAGCTGATAACGCAGAACACCAGCGTATTAGGGAACTAGCAGAAAAAGTCAATGAAGGGACACAAGATAATTCTTGTGACCCACCATTTACAGTCACTGAACTAAAACACGCAACCAACAGCTTCAACCCAAAAAAGGCACCGGGCGGGGACGGATTTACTGCTGATATTTGCCGTCAAGTTATCCTCCATAATCCTGAGCTTTACCTGAGCCTAGCTAACAAATGCTTAGAGTTAGGGCACTTTCCCACTGTGTGGAAAGCAGCAGTAGTCGTGGTTCTGAGAAAACCGGGGAAAGAGGATTATACGCACCCCAAAGCCTATAGACCGATAGGCTTGCTATCAATTATGGGCAAAATCCTGGAGAAAATGACTATCAGGAGGATAAAGTGGCAAATTCAACCTGGGATGAGTACTCGCCAATACGGCTTCACGCCACAGAAAAGCACCGAAGATTCCCTCTATGACATGATGGAGTATATACAAACGCAACTACGAAATAAAAAGATAATTACCATGGTATCACTTGACATAGAGGGAGCCTTCGATAGTGCATAGTGGCCGGCCATTAGATGTCGATTGGCTGAGGAAAAATGCCCCACAAACATACGACGGTTGATGGATAGTTATCTCCAGGATAGAAAAGTTAACATCAGGTACGCTGGTGTAGAGCACCATCGGGCCACTTCAAAGGGGTGCGTACAAGGTTCCATAGGGGGACCGATACTGTGGAATTTGCTTCTTGACCCTCTTCTCAAGGAGTTGGAGGCGAGGGGTGACCGGTGTCAGGCTTTTGCTGACGATATCGTCCTGCTGTTTGCGGGGGACACGGCACTCGAGATTCAGAGGCGTGCAAATGCCGCTCTCGAGCATGTTCGAATGTGGGGAATTCGTAATAAACTGAACTTTGCGCCACAAAAGACCAAGGCTATGATATTAACCAACAAGTTAAAATATGATTCACCACGTCTGAGCATGGGCGGGATAGACATTGGCATGTCGGAAGAGATCAAAGTGCTTGGTCTTACCGTAGACAGAAAGCTCACATATAAAAGCCACGTCAGAAATGTCTGCAGGAAGGCCACAGCTCTCTACTCACAACTATCGAGGGCTGCTAAAATTAGTTGGGGTCTTCAATCAGAAATCGTAAGGACGATATACGTCGCAGTTGTGGAACCGGTGGTGCTGTATGCGGCGAGTGTGTGGGCGCCAGCTGTTAGCAAACTTGGGGTCCGAAAGCTTCTTAACACCGTGCAAAGGGGATTCGCTCAGAAAATTATTAAAGCATATCGTACCGTGTCTCTACACTCGGCCCTTGCACTGGCAGGCCTGCTTCCTCTGGACCTAAGAGTCCAGGAAGCAGCATCCCTCTTTGTAGCTAAGAGAGGAAAGCTCCAGTCGCTGCTGGGGGACCGGGAGGTGGAGACAAGGGTGAATTTTGTGGAACTGCCCCACCCAGCATCTTATATGGACCTGGAATTCATATGCCTGGTAGACGAGAACGAAACAAAACTCAATAGCACACAGAGTCTCCGAATATTTACCAACGGGAGCAAAATAGAGGGAAAGGTCGGAGCAGCACTTTCTATTTGGAATAGTGAAGCCGAGATCAGAGCTCTAAAGCTTAAACTGTCGGACTACTGTACCGTGTACCAGGCGGAATTACTGGCCATATACAGTGCAACTGAGCGAATTCTCAATAGCACTGAAGTAAGCTTTGGAGTTTACAGTGATTCAAGATCAGCTCTCGAGACCATTGTAAACCACGACTCCCAGCATTCCCTTGCAGTAAAGACCCGCAAAAATATACAAAACATCGTAAAGCAACAAAAAAAGCATTCAACTTTTTTGGATAAAAGCCCATGCGGGTCTGGCAGGGAATGAACGAGCTGACGAATTGGCTAAGCTCGCCGCACTGCAGAAAAAAGGTAAGCCAGATTACGACCTGTGCCCGGTCTCCTACTTAAAGCGTCTCATCCGGGAAGAATCCGTAAAAAAATGGAACCAAAGATACGCAGAGAGTGAAACGGGTCGAATCACAAAGAAATTCCTCCCATGTGTAAAAGACGCCTATAAGGTAACTAGGGTGACAGTACTGTCTCCGTTAATGATCCAGGCGATGACTGGGCATGGTGGTTTCTCCGAGTATCTGTACCGATTCCAATGCAAGGAGAACCCTTCATGCGTCTGTGAGCCAGAAGTGGAAGAGACAGTGCTACACGTACTTTTGGAATGTCCTAGGTTCGGCAAACAAAGGCACGATTTTGAAATGTTAATTGGAGAAAGACTCGAAGAAGCTAAATTACAAACATTGTTGGGCAATAAAACTACTCGAAACAAATTCATTAAATTCTGCGAAGGAATAATCAATAGGGTCGTAAAAAATAACCGAAATTAAATAATATATTTTAAAAATATTAAATTTTTGGAATTTTATATCAAACTTTATACTGTAAGATATTTATTATCTTAATATTAATTGAAATTTAATTGTTTTAATTCACAAAAATAAACTTAGGGCAAGAATTGCAAATGCAAGATAGCCACTCGGGACTTCCTTGTGAATATAGAAAGTATATTCAGAGAGAAAGAACCGCTTTTAATGTAATTAATGTAATAATGATCATGTACGAATAGTGTGTTGCTCTAAATAAAAAAACAATAATGTACTTTAAGATAAATTTTAATCAAGTAATTAATTAAGTGACAAATTTACAAAAAAGGACTGTAAAATTAAATATCAGATTTTGTAAGCATTAGATTAAGAGTAGAAGGACTCCCGAACGAAAACCCGGATTCCTCTACACCCTATACAATAGCAAGGACAAGAAAATAAAAAACTAGAATTAAAAGTCCATGTCGAGCTGACAATGTCTCTGACCACCTATGTCAGAGGAAAACAGCAACACATACAAAAAAAAAAAAAAAAACCTAACCTAACCTAACCTAACCTAACCTAACCTAACCTAACCTAACCTAACCTAACCTAACCTAACCTAACCTAACCTAACCTAACCTAACCTAACCTAACCTAACCTAACCTGACCTAACCTAACCTAACCTAACCTTTTTTTTTTTTACGGGGGGGAAATCCTCATGGACTGCTTCTGCCTGGGGACAGGCGGAGGGGTGTGCCGGACTCTTACCGGCTAAAACCACCCCGGTGTCTCCTCGCACGTGCACGCGCGGGGCCGCGGGAATCCAAATTCTTCCGCAGCCCCACGGCCCGGTCCGGCGTGTTGGCTCGGTCTGTACGGGCCTCGTCTCCTGCACGGGGTAGTGAGGTGTTCAACTACCCCCTGTATCACCCCAGAGGCACGCGCCGACACCCACGCGTGCCTCCGCCTCGGGTCCATCGAAAGGGGGGCGGGGGCTTCCCCTAGTCCCTCGCCCCTAGACTTATTAATGGGGGCTGGAAAAGGGCGTTGTCCGCCCTTCTCCTGCGCCCGGTGCACCTTCTGCGGCCAGGGAAGGGAGTCGAGATCTCCCTCTCCCGTTCCGCAGTTTCCTTCTGCGACATCACGTCCTCACAGAAGGACACCACTACATCCCACGATTCTGCGCTACCGACCATACTCCGCACCAAGGCCGACAGCGACAAATCGCCTCCTACTTCATTTGTGAGGACACGGCGCTGCTCCTCCCAAGCTACACACTCGGCTAGCATGTGTTGCGCCGTGTCCTCCCCGCAATGGACGCAGTGGTGGCACCGAGCGTCCGGCTCCCTGTCTATGCGGCACAGGTACTTGCCAAAGCAGCCGTGCCCCGACAGCACCTGCGTCACCCTAAACGACAGGGAGCCGTGCCTTCTCCCGAGCCAGTCGTCGAGTACTGGCCGGATCGCCTCGACGATAGCGAGGCCGGCGGTAGGGCGCAGAAGCCTTTGCCGCCATTCCGCCACCAAGACCTGACGGAGCTCCTCTCGGCGCAGCGCGATCTGTCGCTGCACCGGCCTCGAGCCCCGTCCCCGCTCTTCCTCGCGCCATCGATATAGTGACGCGAGTACTTTCGCCTCTAGGTCCCAGGCGGGGATCCGGCCAGGACGCAAGCCGCCTCGTAGGAAATCGTGCGATACCCGCGGATGACTCTGACGGCCATCGCCCTCTGCGGTTTGCGCAGAATGGCGAGAGTGCTGGCCGTCATGTCCATCGCCCATACAGGGGCCCCATACAGGGCCATGGACCGCACGATTCCCACGTACAACCGCCTACAGGCAGCGTTTGGGCCCCCCAAGTTGGGAAGCAGCGTTGAAAGTGCGCCAGCTGCACGCATCAGCTTGGGCGCCAGCCGCCGGAAGTGGGGCCCAAATTCCCATCGGCTGTCGAGCACCAATCCCAGGTACTTCATGGTGGACTCGACAGCTATCCGGGCCCCGCCGACCACGATGTGCGATCCCGGTGGCGGCGCGCGTCGAAGGCCATGAAACACCATGGCCTCCGACTTGTTAAGGGCCACATCCAGGCCCAGGCACCGGATGCGGTTCACCACTTGTGAAACCGCAGCCGTGGCAACCAACGCTGCTTCCCTGTGCGAGCTCCCCCGGGCAGTGACGAGCGTGTCGTCCGCATAACAGGTCAAGTCCGCGCCCGACGGGAGCTCACCTCTCAGCACCCAGTCGTAGCCGATGTTCCACAGGAGCGGTCCCAAAACCGATCCCTGCGGAACACCGCACGACATGACGCGTCGACCAGCGCTGTCACGTCCCCAATACGTGACGCATCTCTCCTCAAGGTAGGCCCCTATTGTGCGGCGGAGGTAGGGAGGCACGCGATGGTAATTAAGCGCCTCCCGAATACAACTCCAGGGTAGGGTGTTGAAGGCGTTGGAGATGTCTAATGACACCGCCAGCACCACCCCACCCCGGGATACTGTCTCCTCCGGCAGGGCCCTCACGCGCGTAATAGCGTCTATGGTGGAGCGCCCGCGACGAAAACCAAACTGGTTCTCGTCCAGGTCTGGCCCCACTCTGCACAAGTGGCTGACGAGGCGATCTGCGATGATACGCTCAAGAAGTTTGCCCGCCTCGTCGAGCAGCACTATGGGCCGGTACGCGGACGGTGAGTCCGCGGGGGCGCCCCTCCTTCCTGAGTAGGACCAGCCTTCCCTACTTCCACACACTGGGAAACTGACCCTGCTCGAGACATGCCGTGAAGAGCCCCCTCAGCTGGGGCTCCAGCTCCTTCAGAGCCAGGACGAGAGCTCGACCAGGAACTCCGTCGGGTCCGGGCGCTGTGTTCTTGGCCCGAAGTCGCGCCATGGCCGCTCTCATCTCTGCTTGCGTCACCTTGGGGAAACCTAACCTAACCTAACCTAAACTAACCTAACCTAACCTAACCTAACCTAACCTAACCGATTCAGCCAGCGGTCGGAGCATTGATTACTGACTATATTTAACGTGTGCTACCCCTACAATAGTAATCTATATAAATTAGGACTTTTGGACTTTGTATATTCCGTAAAATGTCTTCAAAAAGTACTTTATTTAAATCGTCTAAAGCAAAGCAAACGAAGAGACCAAGTTCAACTCCTAGTACAACCCTAAGAAAAAAAAAAAAAAAAAAGTGCTTATGCAAAATGCGGCATCTACACAAAAAGAAGAACCAATGGCTCAATCATTCGTAGACGTGCGCACTCCCAATTTTGAAAGTGAACCTACTTTTATGCTACAATCTTCGCCGATAATTTCAAAACCATCCGTAATTACCCAGGAAACACAAGCAGAAAACGCAGACCCAGATGACAACAGTTCAGCATCTATGGATATGGAGGCTGAACTAGATATTTTAGGTATCGATAAACCAATAATCACGCGAACTGATGATGAATGGTCTGACTTGGATAGTGTGGTTAGCGGCTGTAGCAAGCGATCAAGCATTTTACCCCCGGCATACAGACGAGCAGGCATATCAATGGATCTAGCTACACAAAGAGCAAACGATTTTTTGCTCACAGGGAAAGAGGCACTTGAAAAGGCTGGGAATATGAAGCGAGAATGCAAAACTGAGGTACATGAATGTTTGCAAGGAATGTATGAGATCGCCCTCTCACTCTCTGATTCGAGATCCCGGCACCGCTTGTCTTTGGAACAAGAGCGCAGTAGAGCAGCCAAAGAACTGGTAAGAGTCGAAAGAGCTCATAATAAACAATTAACAGAACTACATACAAAATATACGCACAAACTTAACGAAGCATACGAAGCCATCCAAGAGACAAATAAAGCTGTTGAGGCTATCCGTGGTTGGCTTAATTTCGAAATGGATGGAGCACTAAAAACGATTCAAAATATACAAAAGGAGCTACATATATCAAATGCAAAACCTATTCTAAAACCAGCTACCGATAAAGCCAATGGGAATGGATACGAAATAGAAGAGAAGCTGACAAATATTTCATCTCAAGCTAATGAAACTATACAACATATTAAAGACCTTCATTCAGCATTTGAGCGAATAATGAACAGAGAGCAGACCCACGTCACTCAGCCACAAGTCCCGGAATATAAAAATAGCTTTTTAGAGTCACAGTTGAACTCAATTTCAATTCTTGTCACAGAAACAAAGAATTTAATCAAAGAATTACAGAGCAGACCTAATGTCATAAAACAAACTGAAGAGGTACAAAGTGAACAAACAAAAATAATAACCGACACACTAACTCAACAAATCAATAAAATGATTATCGAACTTAACGACATAAAAGAACTGGAACTGAGTCAAATAGCTTGCCAAGGAAATCCTGGTATCGGTGCCGAGCTCATGATGGTAGAAATAAGGGAAAAGTTAAGCGAAATCCTGAATCAATGCTGCGGGACAGCAACATCGACAAACACACCCGTCACCAACATTGCTGAGGGTATTATAAGCATAAAAACTGACCGAAAGGCAGATATAATAAAAGAGTCTACCACACCTGGGGCTCCCACGCGCTCTTATGCAGAGGTGTTGGCGAGGCCTCACTTTGCTCTAATCGTAGAATCCGCTGACCCCAGACACACTAGTGATGACGTGGCAAAAACAGTCAAGAGCCATGTTGATGTTGTGGAGCTTGGATTAGGAGTGAACAACGTTAGAAAAATCAAAAACCAAAAAATTATTATATCTTGTGATAGCGAGGATGACAGAAGCAAACTGCAGGAGGCAATAAAGAACTCGGACCAAAAATTAACCGCTGCGAAAACAGTATCTAAACAGCCTTTGCTTAAATTAGTCGGAGTAATCAACGATCTGGACAATAGTAAAATTGCAGATGCGGTATTTAAACAGAACTCTAAACTACTATCCGACATAAAACCAAGCGAAAAATGGCTAAAAGTACTAAGGCGGACAAAGGGTCGCACAAAGGAAATTACTAATATTATACTAGAAGTAAGTCCCCCTATTTGGAAAGCACTAATGAATCAAAAGCTGCATATTGGGTACCAAATAGTATTAGTGGTGGACCTATCCCCGATTATCCAATGTTACCGGTGTATGGGATTTGGTCACAGAGCCGTGGAATGCAGAGCGGAGGAACCCAAATGTGGATTTTGTGCATTGAATCATGATACTCGGGAATGCCCAAATAGAAATAAAAACTCAACATGTGTCAACTGCAAATCTAAGAAATTTGATGACATATCCCATACAGCATATAGCGCTACATGCCCGGAATGGAAAAGATGGGATCGGATAGCGAGATCCGTAATAGCTTACTGTTAAGTTCGACGCGGGAGTCTCTTCTGATAACACATTACTTAAAGTTCTGCAGTGTAACCTTGGTAGGGGTCTCGTAGCTACACAGGAGTGCTTACAAAACGCTACAAGAAATAAAACATCTATTGCACTTCTCCAAGAACCACATGTGGGTGCATCGGGTAATGTGAATATATCATACAAAACAGTTCAGAAAACAGATAATCGATCTAAGCCTGTAAAGTCTGCTGTTGTTGTCATTGACCCCAATATATTAATAATCGAAGATAGTAAATTTATCACAGAAAATATAGTAGGTGTTATTATTGTAAGTAAAAATAATAATATAGGATTGATCTCGATATACTGGGAAGACTATGAAAACATCGAAAATTACATACAGCAATTGAATACCATTATTAAAAATATGAATACACCTTTTATAATTATTGGAGGCGACTGCAACTGTAATAGTCAATGGTGGGGATGTGACAATGAGGATGCCAGAGGAATATTGCTCTCGGAGTTCCTTGCTGAAGCAAGTTTGGAAATTATTAATGAAGGCCGTACTCCTACATTCTATACCATAAGACAGGGAGTAGAATGCAAGAGCATAGTAGATATAACAGTTTGCTCTGTACCTACTATGACTAAGATACTGAACTGGACAGTCAACCCAAACATAGTCACCACCTCAGATCATAGAGCAATAACTTTTGACATATGCATAGGTCCTGAAGAAACAAGGAAGGGGATTAGAAAATCTACAAGGATTTACAATTCCACTAAGGCCGACTGGAATAGATTTAATAAAGAACTTATAACTAATTTGGAAAATAAGGGATTAAATACGAAAGAAGTGACACACATACAGACTGGAAAATACCTTGAAGACGCTATATTAAAATTAAATGAATGCATAACTAAAGCCTGTGATAAATCTATGCCCAAACTAACAAATACCAAATTCATCAAGAAGATCAAATGGTGGAACAACGAACTAGACCTAAAAAAAGAAGAAAGTTATAAGGCTAAGACGCAAAATACGACATGCCAACGAGAACAGAAAACCTTATATTATAGATGATTACTTAAGAACGTTATCTGATTACAAAGAAACCATATTAAGGACGAAAACAAATAGTTGGAAAGAATACTGCACAGGACAATCACGAGAGACTATGTGGGACAAATTCTATAGAATATCCAAGCTCACAGATATTCATCTTAATGAAGAGATGCTAAAAGATTCAGACAGAAATATATTAGACCCATTTCAATCCGCAGATCTGTTGGCTAACACATTTTATCCAGTTGATAATATTGACAACGACACAGAATACCATACAAGAATACGAGAGGACACAAACACAATAGAAAGTCAAATAAAAATGATAAAACAGTCTACAGAATTCACACCCTTTACAACCTATGAAATTAGTACGGTTATTGAAAATATTAGACCATCCAAAGCGCCTGGCCTGGACGGATTTACGGCAGACATATGCAACGCCAGTATTAAGGCCGCTGAAAAACTAATTTTGGAATTAATGAACAGATGTTTATTTATAGGATACTTTCCCAAAATTTGGAAAATTGCAATCATATGCATTGTAAGAAAACCGGGTAAGGACAACTACACAAGCCCCAAGGCGTACAGACCTATTGGCTTACTCCCGGTAATGGGGAAGGTACTTGAAAAAATGATTACAAATAGATTAACTTGGTTTCTAGGAAACACTAACAAATTAAGTACAAGATAATACGGATTTATGCCCCAGACTAGTACCGAAGATGCATTGTATGATGCTGTCACTTTGATAAGAGATAAACTTAAGAAAAGAAAAATTATAGCTGTCATTTCTCTAGATATCGAAGGGGCCTTTGACAATGCCTGGTGGCCTGTTATTAAAAAGCAACTCTTTGAAAATAAGTGTGATCCATATATACTAGCAACCATTTTCAGTTACCTTAACGAGCGCTCTGTTGAAGTACACTACGCCGGTACGAAGATCACTAAGCCAACTAATAAAGGATGCATTCAAGGATCCACGTGTGGACCACTGATGTGGAATATCCAGCTTGACCCTTTGTTAAAAACAGCGGATTCATTAGAAGCTCACATCCAGGCCTTTGCAGATGATATATTGTTAATTGCGGAGGCAGATACAGCTAGAGAATTAGAAAGAAAAACCAACGAAGCTTTATTAAAAATATCAGAATGGAGTGTACGAAATAAAATGAAATTTGCTGCCCACAAGACAAAAGTAATAATAGTAACGAAGAAGCTAAAATATGATACACCAACGTTTGTACTAAATAACACACCACTTAATATAGGAAGTGATATTACAGTTTTAGGATTAACAATCGATAGTAACTTGAATTTTAACAAACATTTGGACAGGACAATACAAAAAGTAACAAATATATACAAAAGCATTACTAGAGCCGCTAAATCTACATGGGGACTTAATATGTCAGTGAAATATTAAGAATCATTTATATAGCAGTAATTGAACCAATTATTTTATATGCAGCAAGTTCCTGGGATCAAGTTATTGACAAAAAATATATTAAATCGAAATTGGACCGCATAACGAGAATGTTCGCATTACGTATTGCAAAGGCGCATAAAACTACTTCCTGTGTAGCAAGTACGCTTTTGGGTAAGATACTCCCTTTAGATTTAAGAGTAAGGGAAACGGCTAAATTTCACAGAGCTAAAAGAGGAAAGCCCCTGGATATTCTCCTCGATAGGCCTATAGAAAGGAAAGTCAGCGTGTTTAATTTACCTTCACCTTCAAAAAGAAAGCCTCTGTCATTTAAGGAAGTTTATAAAGAAGAAGACCTAAAAGAAATTAGAATGAATTTACCACAATTGTTTACGGATGGTAGTAAGATAGAAGGTAAGGTGAGAGCGGCTGTTGTGTGGTATGAGGACGGTAAAGAAAAATTAAATTCAAACTTTAAGCTGGATAACCACTGCTCTGTATTCCAGGCTGAATTAGCAGCAATACTTCGAGCTGTTGATCTTACAATTCGCAAAATACAGTTAAAAAAGAACGCAAGTATTAAGCAACTCGAGGTCTGCACTGGAATCTGTCTGCAATCCGCATAATACCCATCCGATTGTAGTAGAAATTAATAAAAAAAATATCTGAGATACACGAAAATGGAGGACAAATACAACTGTTTTCGATAAAAGCCCACTCTGGACTAGACGGCAATGAGCGAGCCGACGAATTGGCCAATAAGGCAGCTTTACATAAAAAAACTGCACCTGTGTATGATAAAGTCCCAGTGTCCTTTGTCAAGTGGTCCCTTAGAAATATAACAATAGCAGAATGGCAACAGCGATACATGAAAGAAGAAGCAGGAGTGGTAACCAAGCTATTCTTTGATGACGTTCGTCGAAGCCATAAAATACTGTTGAAATTAAAAACAACAAACTTACTAACGCAAATATTCACAGGACATGGTGGGTTCGGCGAATATCTTCACAGATTCAAATTGAAAGATACAGCAGTATGTAAGTGTGATGGAACCAGTATCCAAACTATTACCCACTTACTAGACGAATGTCAAATTTTTGATTCCTGGAGATGGGAAGTGGAACAAAAATTAGAAACAAAAATAAAAAGTAATAATTATAAATTATTTGTAAGTGACGACGTCAAAAGAGATCTTTTTGTAAGGTACGCTAAAAAATGTAGTTAAAAGAGTTAATGAATGGAATGGCGGATACATGACATTACTCGATTAACATGAAGAGAAACATGAACAGAAGAGACGTAAACGACGATCATTGGCACGACAACTTAATAACACAAAATAAAATAAGAAAAAAAAATACGTATAAAGGTTTAAAAAAAATGTTAAGAAGAAAAGATGCTGCAAAATAAACAGCAGCAGTTACAATAGAAAAAAAAAACCTAACCTAACCTAACTTAACCTAACCTAACCTAACCTAACCTAACCTAACCTAACCTAACCTAACCTAACCTTTTTTTTTTTTTTTTACGGGGGGGGAAATCCTCATGGACTGCCTCTGCCTGGGGACAGGCGGAGGGGTGTGCCGGACTCTTACCGGCTAAAACCACCCCGGTGTCTCCTCGCACGTGCACGCGCGGGGCCGCGGGAATCCAAATTCTTCCGCAGCCCCACACTAGTGCTGGCCCGGTCTGTCCGGGCCACGTCTCCTGCACGGGGTAGTGAGGTGTTCAACTACCCCCTGTATCACCTCAGAGGCACGCGCCGACACCCACGCGTGCCTCCGCCTCGGGTCCATCGAATAGGGGGGCGGGGGCTTCCCTAGTCCCTCGCCCCTGGACTTATTCATGGGGGCTGGAAAAGGGCGTTGTCCGCCCTTCTCCTGCGCCCGGTGCGCCTTCTGCGGCCAGGGAACGGAGTCGAGATCTCCCTCTCCCGTTCCGCAGTTTCCTTCTGCGACATCACGTCCTCACAGAAGGACACCACTGCTTCCCTAACCTAACCTAACCTAACCTAACCTAACCTAACCTAACCTTTTTTTTTTTTTTTTACGTGGGGAAATCCTCATGGATACCCGTCTGTCGTGTAGGCGTCAGACAGGTTATGCCGGACTCCTACCGGCTAAACCCCACTGTTTACATCTCATCACCTTTTGTCAGGGCTACGGGAACGCTTTCGCATACTACCGCAATCCCGACGGCAACAGCCCTTACAGGCTCCGACTCGACGACTTCTTCTTGGAGGGGCGTACCATCACACCGTACGCGCCACCTCGAGGCCCTGCATAATAGGTGACGGACAGCCCCCTGTGTCCGCCCCCCTAAGCCTCAATTACGGGGGGTGGAAGAGAGCCTGATATGCTCTTCTCCGGCGCCCAGCTCTCCGGCTGCGGATTGGGATTGTTGCCGTCTTTTCCCTCTCCCTCTCCGCAACTTCCTTTTGTGACATCACTTTTTCGCAAAATGTTACCCCAGCACTCCACGCCCTCTCGCATCCAACCATAGCTTTAATAAAAGCTGGGAGCGAGAGGTCATCCCCCACTACAGCCACGAGGTCCCGACGCAAGTCAGCCCAAGCCGGGCAAACCTCAAGGGTATGCTGCGCCGTGTCCTCGTCGCTACCACAGTGATGGCACTCAGTTGTCGGCTCTCTTCCGGCTATACGGCACAGATACTTACCGAAGCACCCATGCCCGGAAAGCACCTGCACCAGCCGGAAGGTCAGTGACCCATGTCGCCTGTTTGTCCAGTCTAACATGACCGGAAGAACAGCATCGACAGTTCTGCTTCCTGCCTTCGGGTGGGCTAGACGCTCCTTCCACTTTTCAAGCACCTGTTGCCGAGTGTGGAGCTTTCGCAATTGCCACTCTCTGGGAGAGAGGGGACATCCTCGGTGTCGAAGTTCCAAGCGCCAATCGTACATAGACGCAAGGAACTCCGCCTCTATATCCCAGGGTGGGGACGCCGCCAAAACGCATGCCGCCTCAAAGGAGATCGTCCGGTATCCTCGCACGACTCCGACGGCCATCGCCCTCTGGGGCCGTCTCAGGAAGGCGATGGTTCTTTCCGTCAGAGCCCCAGCCCATATAGGGGCCCCATATAAAGCCATGGACCGAACCAACCTACCCCCAAATAGAGACGGCGGCAATTCGCATCGGGCCCTCCGACGTTGGGTAGCAACCTTTTTAAGGCAGCTGTTGCTCTCATTAGCCGGGGGGCCAAGCACCTAAAGTGCTCGCAGAAGCTCCAACGGCTATCCAGGATGAGTCCAAGGTACCTCATATTGGACCCAACCTGAATACGGACATCACTGACAATGATGTGGGATCCCTGTGGCGGTGCTTTTCGAGGCCTGTGAAAGCAGATGGCCTGGGACTTGCTTAACGCCACTTCCAGCCCCAACATCCTAATTCTGCCAACAACCAGTGCCACTGACGTAGTGGCAATACGAACGGCTACCTCATAGGTCTCCGCCCGGGCAGTGACCAGAGTATCGTCTGCATAGCAGATTATGCCAGCACCCGGGGGAAGGTCTCCCCGCAACACCCAGTCATAACCGACGTTCCAAAGAAGCGGTCCTAAAACCGAGCCTTGTGGAACGCCGCACGACATTACTCTCCTTAATATCCTGCCTTCCCGCCCAGGATAGCAGACACATCGCTCAGAGAGATAGCTCCCGATTATTCGTCTGAGATAGGGAGGCACCTTGTGGTACTTCAGTGCCTCGCTGATGCACTCCCAGGGCATGGTGTTGAAAGCGTTGGCAATATCTATAGACACTGCCAATAAAACCCCACCCCTTGCTAAAATCTCGTCCGAATGGGCATTGACGCATTTAATAGCGTCTATCGTTGACCGACCCATTCGAAAGCCAAACTGCTGGTCTGACAAATCGGGACCCATCTCTTCGAGATGCCCGATAAGACGACGGGCTATTATTCGCTCGAAGAGCTTATCTGCTTCATCGAGCAATACTACAGGGCGGTAGGCGGAGGGAGAGTCGGCGGGGCGCCCATCCTTCTTCAGAAGGACTAGCCTGCCCGTTTTCCACTGTAGTGGGAACCGTCCCATCTCCAGACAGGCATCAAGTAGCCTGCGGAATCGTTCCCCTAGTTCGCCCGAGGGCTAAAACCCAGGCGCGGCCAGGAATGCCGTCGGGACCTGGAGCTTTGTTTTTTTTGCTCGGAGTTTTAAGACTGCCGCACCAAGTTCCTCCTGCGACACTCGTGGCACCTCATTCTGTCCTTCTTCCATCTCCTGTACAGAGGCCATTGCTGGTGGTAACCACTGCGCCCGATCTGGAAATAGCACGTTCACCACATCCTTAACAAATTGAGGTTGGAGACTCTCCGTGAGTGGAGGCGCCCAAGATCGAAGTTTGCCCCTGACCATCTTATACGGACGTCCCCATGGATCTTGGTTGAGGGTCTCTAAGAGCTCCTCTCTTGAGCGTGTCTTAGCCTCGCGAATGGACAGCTGCAGAATTTTCCGGCATTCTCTATACTTTTCGTATAGCTGTTCTTCTACAGTATCGTTACGAAGCCGTCTTCTGCGATATCTGACGTACAGGCGCCTCGCTTTCACACAGTTAGTGCGTAAAACTGCTATCTCTACAGACCACCAGTACACCTGGCGCCTAGGAGGTGGGTGTTTGGCGCGGGGCATGCTTGCGTCACAGATGTGTGTCATAGCATCCTGAAACCAAGTTGTCTCCGTCTCAACCTCTACAGGCCCATTTGGTGGGGACAGCCACGATTGGACAATAGAGGCTTCAATGACAGCATCTCTACTCATACTTCTCAATACCCATCTTTTGGTTAATGATGGGATATGCCTTCTGACCGGACGACCGACGCTCGGAGTCTCTGGAGAAGTGGAGACATCGAAACGAATGTAACGATGGTCCGACAACGTTTCCACGTTCTCCAAAACTCTCCAGCCATGAACGCGGCTTGCTGTGGCAGGGGATGCAAACGAGACGTCTACGATAGATCCTTCCTGTTTCCGCACGCATGTGTAGACCGATCCCTGATTCAGCACTATTAGGCCCGTTATAGTCACCCAGTCCTCTAGTGCCTCGCCACGCGCATCAGTCATAGGAGAACCCCAGACAGTAGATTTAGCGTTAAGGTCTCCCATGAGAAGTACTGGGCGAGGTAGGTTTTGCCCAATAAGAGCCCCCAAATCGCTCAAGAATGTCTCAAATTCGGCAAGGCATCTGTTTGGAGAGAAGTATACCCCAATGAGAATTATTTCCCTCCACAGAATCGCCACATATCCCTTACCTCTCGCAACTATTGTGGAAGGTGGGACGCCTGCAGCCGTCGACGATATGATGGCCACTAAGCCATCGATGTCACCTACCCAGTTGTTCCTGGAAGCGACGAAGTATGGCTCGCCGACCACCGCTATATCAATCATCCACTGTGCCATGCTCTGCAAAAGCAAATCCTGTGCGCCGGCACAGTGGTTGATGTTGGCCTGAAGGAGACGATAATTACAATTTTCAGCCATCATGTTACTGGACTGCCATCGCCTCCTCCATTTGAGGTTGCGTAGGCGGGGTCCTTTCACCCACTATAACGCCCTTTCTTCTTTGTTTTGGAGGCGAGCACCTCTTGCTCCCCAGTACGTGGTCAGCCGGCCTGTTTGCTGCAATACACAGGGAACATTTTGGCGCAGCCGTGCACTTCGCTGACTTATGGCCAGTCTGGCCACATCGGTAGCAGTCATTACTACGGTCCACAATATTATCACCGGCAATATTTTCACCTGTGCTGCCACCCATCCGATCAAAAGACGCCCGCCCCCTTCAACTTTCTTGGCTGCAGGTACCGGGCAGCTCACCCAGATAGTACCAGTGCCAGAGCTTGTACTGCGGATTTCGCCTACTTTCACCATTTCTGCAGGACATTCCCCTTGCTGTGCAATGGCAGCAACAACTTCCTCTGTAGTTATAGAGTCGTCCAGGCCAGAGATGCGCATCTCTGCACATTTAGTTGGTCTAGATACTCTAGCCACCTCCTCAGGCAATGACTCCTTTAATATCTTAGCCAAGGAGTCAGCTTTATCGCCGCTCGTTGCTCCTGGTATCTCTAAAATGCGGGCTCCAGTGGCCGCCTGTCGGTACCGCAGAGATTCGATACCGAGGCTAGCAAGGTCGATCTTCTTTCTAGCCTCTGTCAGCACCTTTGCATAAGTGAGGCCACGATCTTCAGCTCCGGGCTGCAGTGTTATAACTACAGCCGCGGATTTTGGGGAGCGCAGTTTCACAGATGCTGGTCTCTTGGAAGGATTGACGGTTCCTGCCTTGCGTTTTTTACCTCTTCTCACTGTGGTCCATCCTTCTTCCGTGGACTCAGGAGGTTGAGGGCGTGATTCTGTTGGCTGGTTGGTTGCCATTTCTGTTGTTCTCCCTTCGTGTCCCTTTCCCTTTCTGTTTCCTCTTTGTATTTCCAGCGCCGGAATTTTCTTGTTGCCTATTCTTGTTTTTACGGCGTATTTGTCAGCCTTCGTAATTGTATCAGACTTCCGCCGTAGTATGTCTGCATCATTTACTACATCTCTGCGCACATCAGCAGCCAGCGGAGGGCGGACACGCTTTTCTGGGAGAAGCCGCTCCTCAAGCGCCTCCAATCGCGCATTCATCATGTCACCAACTTGGCGCATAATGGAACTTATCAATTCCTCACTTTCCTTGTCTCCTCGCACCTGAGGAGTTGGTGGAGCAGGTGTTTTATTGATCCTCGCCATTTCAAGCCGGATTTCAGATAGCTCTTTACGAAGCTCCTCTATTTCACTGCGCAGGCAGGTGTTTTCAGCTGCAATTTCGCCGTTTCTTCATTCACTGACCTCTTATGTAGGACCTCCACGACTGTTTTTATTGACGTGGCACGTTGAAATGTGCCTTTCAGATTTCTCGACTTGGCTGCTACCATCAGTATGACTCCGACATCGTCGAGAACCTGTTGGTTGAGAGCCATTGCCGAACGGCTGTCATCTCCGACTAAATTAGGTAGCCCCAGGGCAGTTCGTTTTTGATTTGCAGCACAAATCATTTGTTCCACTTGCCTCTCAGCCATACTAAGAGCTTCCTCATGCCCTGGCACTACGAACTCTCCAGAATTATCCATTAATGGTGTCACCTCTTTTCCTGTCTCAGAATTCGTCTCTTTTAAAAACAGCTTCAGTGTCGCTGGACGATAGTGATTTTGTAATACGTCTCTTTTTCGCCCCACGGGAGCGACCTCCAGACTTAGAAGCTGTCCTTGATACATCGCTACATAGGCTTGCATCTGATTCCGATCCAGCCTGCTTATCTCCTTCTGATGTTTTATAATTTTTATATTTTTCCATTTTTTTTCCCACGAGTGTGGAGGAAGTAACGGTCCATCCGAGCAGAGCCCCCTTTGCCCGGATAAGCCTATGCATAACCCGTCAAGGGTGTCGGCCGGTACCCTGACGGGGGGCAACGCTAACGACTGAACATTTACCCATCAGCCATGCAGCTCCTCACGGCGTGCCACGCTTGAGCTTCGGGTGATTTTTTATAGAGGTTATCATGCTCGTGACTCCAGGCGGTTAAGCCAAGAGCCCTCGGCCCCTCAGGCGCCGCGAGACATGATCCACGACACGCCAAAGGGATTCCGAGGTTCGAACGGTGGCAGAGTCGATACAGGTTCTTCCCATGCCTGCCCAGAGACCGGGTGAGGGAACCCTGAGCCCATTCAATTTCCTTTTTTTTTTCAGGATGTAGTCCCTGAAAATCCCGCGCTGACGCGCTGCCCGGCGTCGGCAAAAGCTGAGTGCACCTGGCATCTCACCGTGCATGTCACATTCTCTGTTCCTCTCAATGGAGAGGATACGGGAAGCAACAAAAGTACCTCGTACCTATGATTCCATTCGGAACCACAGGTACGCCCAAACCCAGCCAGTTTTGGTCCGCGACGGTTTTCCGCTACCACTCATATCTGAGTGGCATTCCCCTATCCGCCACCTGGGGACGCGCCCGATGGGAGGACTGGCAACTCCACACGGGAACCTAACCTAACCTAACCTAACCTAACCTAACCTAAAGAGATATTCGAAGCAGTGAAAAGTTCGGTTAGTGGTGTTGAGGCAATCCGCAGCTGGCTGAATTACGAAATGGATGAACCTCTTAAAACCATTAACAAAATTCAAGCAGAAGTGCGAGGCTTAGCAACCAAAGCACAACCACCGCTAGCTGGGACTAGCTCGATTGCGTGCACGAAGACCTGCACTGAGTATCTTACGCACCTCAATGGAAAGATAGCCGATATGACTAACCAGCTTGTAGGTTTGACCATGTCAATCAACGAGCTTTCTAAGCTTCAAGCTGAAGAACCGCCACACCTGCCGGTCCAAACAGAAATAAGAGCCCCAGATGATTGTCGTTTTGGAGAAATAATAAACCATATTCTTGAAACCAAAGATATGATACAGACCCTTCAAAACATCCCACCAACAGGAATAGACCAAAGAAAAGAGCTAGAAGCGGCGTTGCATCCGATAGCTCATATGGTTAAAACCTTACTAACAGAGATAAATGAGCTAAAGGATTGCACCACCGCACATGCGGCATTTCAAGGAAATTCAGGGCTAGGTACCGAGCTGGCCGTAACGGATATTAAGGATAAAATAGAAGAGTTAAGAAAAAGTCTTTAGTAATAGACAGAATACAGACTACAACAAAAAAGGAAGACCATGACAACAAAACAGCGCCACAACCATCAGTTACAAAGTCATCTTCACCGCATAAACTTACATACGCTGAAGCTACGGTAACGCCTCGATACGCAATGGTCCTGGAATCTATAGACCCGCGATCCACGAGCGACGAGATCCTGAAACAGGTTAAAAAAGAGGTTGACCCAGTTAAACTTGGTGTTGGCGTGAACAGAATAACTAAAATAAGGAATCAAAGAGTTATTATCAGCTGTGATTCACAACTAGATAGGCAAACCTTAAAAAAAAGCGATTGGAGATACATGCAACAGTCTGACTGTTTCAACCACTTCTGTAAAACATCGTCAGTTACGCCTAATAGGTATCACTAATGAGCTTAATGACGATAAGCTAGTAAAAGCAATTCTTAGTCAAAACTCAAAATTAATTACAGACTTAGACGATGAACAAAAATTCGCTAAAGTTCTTCGCAGAACTAAAGGCAGGACACGAGACCTAATCAATGTTATTCTGGAAGTCACGCCGCAAATGTGGATTCGACTAAAGGACCAGAAATTGCGTATAGGTTTTCAGGTAATCCCCTGCTTTGATCAGTCTCCTCTTATACAGTGCTACAAGTGCCTGAAATTCAATCATAGAGCGAAAGATTGCACAAATGACCTAATCTGCGGGTACTGCTCTGGAAGCCATGATACAAGGACATGCTCGAACAGAAACGTGGCTCCATCCTGCAATAATTGCAACAGATCGGGTAAAGAAAATGCTACCCATCCCGCATATAGCCCCGAGTGTCCAGAGTGGCAAAAATGGGACAATATATCAAGGAGCTCTGTGTCATACTGTTAAGACTTGGTTTACCAAACTAATGAAACAGGAACACCAGGTAATCTCGATAGCAAAAAAAATTGTTAAAGTGGCACAATACAACCTTGATCGAGGCCGCGCGGCAACACTTGAGTGCTTACGGGCTGCAACCACACAAGGCTTTTCCATCATATTGATGCAGGAACCTTATGTTGGGGCAAAGGCACACTTAACTGTGGGCCCGCAATACCGTGTAATCTAAAAAGTTAGTAATGACATCAATAAGCCAGTGAGATCTGCAATAGTTGTCTTAGACCCTAACATTAACTTCACCATTAACCCAAACATACTAACCGAAGACATCGTAGGTATAGTACTAAAAATAGGTAATCTTAACATTGGCTTCATCAGCATCTACTTGCATGAAAAAGGCGTAATTGAAGAAGACTTAATAACGATTAAGAATTTTGTGAAAGCAATGCAGACAGAAGATATTATCATCGGTGGCGATGCAAATGCCAGTAGCATCTGGTGGGGCTGCAAAGCAGATGACAACAGAGGAACACAGGTTATGGAAACATTAGCTGAACTTAACTTGGAGGTAGTTAATACGGGAAAAAAGCCTACTTTTAGTGCATACAGAAGAGACACCCTCTGCTCCAGCATTATAGACATTACCGCCTGTACAACATCACTATTGCATAAGATTGAGAATTGGAGAGTTGACGATTCCTTTTGTACTTTATCTAATCATAAGCCAATTCTTTTCAAATTTAGTACGACAACTTCATTTATTGAGTCAAAAATCAACAGCACCAGGAAATACAATACAAGGAAAGCAAACTGGAGCCATTTCAACGTTGAACTCAAGAGGGCACTAGACAACAACGGCCTAACCAAAGAAAGAATAGGAGTTATTAGGACGACACAGGAGATTGATGAATTCGTAAAAACATATACAGAATGCATAACAAATGCATGCGATGAGACGATTCCGAAAATAGAACGAAAACAGTTACCAAAAGCCGCTAAATGGTGGAACACCGAAATTAAAGAAAAAAAGGAGATCATGATCAGATTACGAAGAAGAATAAGGAATGCACACCCTACAAGAAAGAACTGGGTCATAGAACAATATCTCGAAGCACGTAAACAATATAAGGAAAGTATAGAAGACGCCACAACCAAAAGCTGGAAAGAACTATGCACGAACGAGCAGAAAGAAAACGTGTGGCAACGCACATATCGGATATTGAAGGTCTGTTCTAATGTGGAGGGAGACAAACTGCTCAAAGACCAAAATGGGACAATCCTTTCAGAAAAAGGGTCAGCAACACTTCTAGCTGAAACCTTTTACCCCAAAGATAATCCAAACACCGATACTAAGGAACAGGATGACATAAGAACAAAAACAAATGAACTTATAGCACAACTCGAAAACAAAGCATTAGAAGTTAAGACACCATTCGCTAGAACTGAAGTAGATCAAATACTAAGCAACATGAGCCCTAAAAAAGCCCCGGGTGAGGATGGCCTGACATCCGATATATGCCAAACAGCTTATAATAGTAACCCAGAAGTGCTGGAACTACTCTACAATAAGTGCCTCGAACTGGGATATTTCCCCAAAGATTGGAAAAAGGCAACTATTAAAGTAATCCCAAAACCCAGTAAAGAAGATTATACCAATCCAAAGGCATACAGACCCATTGGCTTGCTACCAGTACTGGGTAAAATACTGGAAAAAGTTTTTACGAATAGAATTCAGTGGCAGTTAGGAAAAGACGAAAAATTGAACCAGAGACAATATGGATTCACTCCACAGAGAAGCACGGAGGATGCGCTATATGATACTATTACACTAATTAAGAATGGACTTAAGAAGAAAGAAATAGTCATACTAGTGTCATTAGATATTGAGGGCGCATTCGATAATGCATGGTGGCCTGCTATTATCACTGAACTTAAAAACAAACAGGTTGAACCTATGGTGTTAAGACTCATAATTAGCTACTTATCAGATCGTGAAATAAACTTAAGTTACGCAAACGAAAAGATCACTATAAAAACCAATAAAGGATGTATTCAAGGATCAACTTGCGGTCCCATGCTGTAGAATATCCAACTTGATCCCCTATTACAGGCAACGGAAAACGCGGGAGCTCACGTTCAAGCCTTTGCGGACGACATCTTAATAATAGCCTCGAACAAAGATGGCCAAAAACTTGAAAAGGATGTTAATGATACACTTAAAACAATAGTAGAGTGGGGACAAAGACACAAGCTTAAATTTGCCCCACATAAGACTCAAAGTACAATAATTACCAAAAAGCATAAATTCCATTGTCCCAAACTGCTAATGGATGGTGTAACCTTAACGTATATAGATCAAATCAAAATTTTAGGATTAATTATTGATAAAAACTTTAACTTTAAGCCACATTTAGATTATGTTTGCAGTAAAGCAGTTCGACTCTACAAAATGGTATCAAGAGCAGCAAGAGCGCAATGGGGTCTCAACTCGGACATAGTAAGAACCATCTACCAGGCTGTAGTTGAACCAACTATTTTGTATGCTGCGAGCTGCTGGGCAGAAGCCACAAATAAAAAATACATAAGCTGAATGCTCAATAGGCTTACACGAATGTTTAGCATTCGTATTTGCAAAGGCCATAAAACCATTTCCCTTGTTTCCAGTGCGCTACTAGCTCAGATTATACCTCTAGCGCTACGAGCCAAGGAAAACGCCGAATTGTACGAAATCAAAAGAGGCAAGCCCATTGAGTCACTCCCTGGGAGACAATTGGAAATGAGAATCAGTCCTTTCCACTTACCACACCCCTCACTAAGAACCAAGAGGGAGTACAAGCTAATAACCTGCCAAGAAGACATCGATCAAATTGACAATGACTGGCCAAAGCTTTATACAGACGGCAGTAAAATAGACAATAAGGTAGGTGCGGCTGTTTCAGTATGGCAAAATGGAACGGAAACCAAAACCATCACCTGTAGGCTCGAAAGCTACTGCAGCGTATACCAAGCCGAGCTAATTGCAATTTTGAAGGCAGTTACATATATGTTAGAAAAGAAAAACCTTAAAGCCAACATCCTTAGTGACTCTAGATCAGCAGTAATAACTCTTTGTAATCCTACGTCACTTAATCCTATTGCAGCTGAAATTTCATCGAAGCTCAATACTATCGAAAATAAAGAGGGAAAAGTCCAGATATACTGGATTAAAGGTCATTGTGGCTTAGTAGGTAATGAGAGAGCAGATGAGCTGGCTAAATATGCCGCTACTAGCAAAAAACAGAGGGCAATTTATGACTTATTCCCATTGTCTTACGCCAAGCACCTCACCAGGAGCAACACTCTGCTAAGATGGCAAATCAAATATGAAGAAGCAGCAACCAGTGGAACCATAAGAACTTTCTTCCCAAATGTTATAACTGCTTATAAGATTTTAAAAAGTATAAAAATAACTAATATTGTAACTCAATTGTTTACCGGTCACGGTGGTAATAAAGCTTATCTTTTTAGATTTAAGATTTTGCCATCCCCATATTGCACATGCGATGATAGTACAGAACAAACCATAGAACATTTAATTACAGAATGTCCGCGATTTGGAAAACAACGGTATGAGTGTGAATGCAATATGGGAGTGAATATAGTATGTAAGAACTTAAGTACTATTATGACGGACATCGATTGCAGATCTCACTTCATACACTTTGCTCTCTCAATACTTAAGGTTATTAACAAAGAGAATGGGAGCACTATAGTAGAATAAATTTATGTCTCTGTAAAGTCCCTACAATAAAACCATTATGAATGTGAATTTAACTAAAGTAATAATAATGAACTAATAATAATATGATATAAGCATACATTTTGATAACGTTAGGCTAATAATAACTTGCAAGTAGTAGAATGTTTAAAAGTAAGCTAAAAGAGATTATCTTAACAATTGTTATTAAATAGGATAAATAAGTGTAGATAAACTGTACAAAGTAACAAAGCAATAACCATTATAACCGGAACACTATGCTTAAAAATAATTGCAAGTTAGTTTAAACAAAGCCTCATGTTAAGAATTAAGAATATTATTAAAATTAGGCCCAAAACAAAAGTACATTATTTATTTAAGGTGACATTATTGTAAAATTAGGAATTATTCATAAGAGACAAATTAAAAGATACAAAGTAATAACATTATAAAGTCTGAAACAGTATACCTATACATAGAACTACATTCAGAAGTGTTATAAAATTAGTTTAATTATAGAAGATGATATTATGATAACTGTAAAAAGAACATGTAATAGTAAATTGAAACAATGTGTAAACGGAACGGAACTATTTAAGTATATATATATAATATAGGTGTTTCAAAAAAAAAAAAAAACATTGATAACAGTAAAAAAAAAGGATTATCTTCAACAGAAAGAAAGGTACTGCAGAATAGCAGTAGTAAAATAGTATTAAAAAAAAAAAAAAAAAAAAAAAACCTAACCTAACCTGACCTAACCTAACCTAACCTAACCTAACCTAACCTAACCTAACCTAACCTAACCTAACCTAACCTATCCTAACCTAACCTAACCTAACCTAACCTAACCCAGTTCGCGCCATACGCCGAAGCGTAAGCACCGTTTAAAGTGAGCTCCGCGTTCGAAAAATCCAGAAAAATAGTAAATTTAGAGCTACTGTGAAGTGTCATACATCAAATTGTGTGTAATAGTGTCAGCTTTAAGGTTGTGTCAGATTTATTAAGCACACGATTTCGTCTAAGTGGTTTTTAGGCGAAAAACCGGCAATTTTCATCAAAATAAGGTAAATTTAGATCTTATTTTTGAAACGCTGCGAAATTTAAAGCGGTGACATATAGTTTTTATTACACCAAAATTTGGCACTTTGCACGCTGTACATTTTGTGCTTTATTCTGGATTTTTCTGACATAAGTTGAAGAAGTTATAACGGTTTTTCTTGAAACCACGTGGCCACGTGCTTTTAGAACCAGAATAGTGCGGCTATATCTAAGAGTGTATTACAAAAGTGCTCAAAGCGTACTCTCAAAACACATTTAGAGTACAAAAATTGGGTCACTCTACAAGATTTTATAGCCATAAAACCAATATTTTCATAAAGTAAAAAATTTTAACACACTATAAATCGAAAATTTAATCGAGAACATATATTTTTTATTTTCGCAATTTGTGTACTTTTGATTATTTAATCTATATGCAAAAAATCAGATTTTTTTTCCAAGGAGTTTTCAAAATATTTGAAATTTCAGTAAAAGTGTGTGCCACGTGGTCACTGTTCTAGCTATCTCCCAGGCTTTTAAAGTGATTAAAAGAAAGTGAGACAAATTATAAATTCAACTGGTTTTTGTTTCAAAAAAATCCGATAGTAAATTTAAAAGATATTGAATTTTTTCTGTTTTTGGCATTTATTTTAATAATCATTAAAAAAATACGTAAACAAGTAATTTATTTGTATAAAGCTCTTCGAGACCTTTTCAACGATACCAAGGTCGACGGGTTTATCTTTAACCGTTACTGAGTTACGACGAAAACTGTATATTGGACGCCATATTGAAAAAAACCACCAAAATTTCAACTGGTGATATCTCAGCAACCATTGGTCGTAAAACATTGGGGTTTTCAATATACATATTGTTGCAACATCCTTAACATTAGAAGCCACAGAAAGCACCCATTTTTTGCCCAACAAAACGGTGACCATTATTAGATAGCTAACTTCGAGCTGAGTAGATTGATACCAAACTCGACTATTCTAGGTGCATTAGGACGTCAGAAAAACAAGTTTAAGTTAACGTCAGACATCTTGCTCCGCCATATTGCTTATTTTTAAACTGCAATAACTTTGGAACGGTTGGTCGTAGAGAGTCGCGGTTTTTAGTAAACTTAATAGCAAATTCCGTTCTATCAAAGCACGTATATAGCGAAACCTATTTCCTTAAAAAAATGTCTGGAAAATCGGTTGCCTCTGGCACTTTACATACCAAGCCTAAGCTTGCCGCAAAAATCAGCAAGGGAGTGAGTCCCGTCGCTAGCGCAGCCCTACGAAGGAAGGTTTTACTACAAAATGCGGCCTCTTCTAGTAAAGCAACCGAAGATGAAACCAAGGGCACGGTACCAGAGGCAAGTATGATGTCAATCATTAAGCTAACCAGCTCTAACGCATCTAGCACTCACACTGAAGAATCGTATGAGACGGCTAGTGTATACAACAAACAGGAAAACCCGTCGTTAAAAGAAGTCGATTCAGACGAAAATAGTTCAGTGACACAAGACATGGAGACGGAACTAGAAATCCTGGGTAAATGTAAGCATGCACGCACAGACGACGAATGGTCTGATGCTGACAGTTTACTTAGTGACAAGAGCAAGCGATCGAGTATACTACCCCCAGCGTATAAACGAGCCGGTATACCCATGGATCTTGCTACCCAGAGGGCCAACGAATTCCTACTTTCCGGTAAGGAAGCCTTGGAAAAGGCTGGCAACATGAAAAGGGAATGTAAGACTGAGGTACACGAGTGTCTTCAAGGTCTATATGAAATTGCACTATCTCTATCTGATTCCCGTTCACGTCACCGTTTAGCTCTCGAACAAGAACGATGTCGTGCAGCCAAAGAAATAGTGAGGATTGAACGGGCACATAACAAGCAGTTAATAGAGATACAAGAAACTTATGCTAATAAATTGGCAGAAACCTTCGACATAGTCCGAAGCACCTCTAAGACGGCTGAAGCTATACGTAACTGGCTCAGCTATGAAATGGATGAACCCATTAAAGCTATCAGCCGAATTCAACTTGAGGTTCATGGATTAGCAGCGAAGGTATCACCAAAATCAAGCACAGTGGCTCTAACTCCTTACCCCGAAAACTCAGAACACCTAACTCAAGTGAAAGAAATAATCACTGAAATGACACATGACTTGCGATCCGTACATCTTGCAATCGAAAAACTAGCCGACTCTCTAAAAGAGATAAAGGAGAATCCATTACCCACTGATACAATTCAGACACCTTATAAAACACGTATTGAATCTTTAACAACTCATATTCAAGAACTGCAAGAGATGATTCGCGACCAACAGACCAGACCGCAGTGTCAAGTGGATACTTCAAATATTCAAATAGAAATTCAAAAATTGATTAACCCTGTTGTTGAGACGATCAAAACCCTCAAAGAAGAAACCATTGAAACAAGAGATTGTTTTACAACTCACATGGCATTTCAGGGCAATACAGGGTTGAGCACAGAATTAGCAATAGCTGAGATTAAAGACAAAATTAATGATATCAGAAATCACCAATGTGCCACTAGTCCCTCACAAAGACTTAAGAGCATAGATAACAATAGCGCAGAAGTCACAACGCATACTGACGAAACAGCACAATCCTCCCAACCACGCAGACGAACCTACGCGGAGATAGCCAGTATGCCCCGATATGCTATGATACTCGAATCCATTGACCCACGGCTCTCGAGTGAGGATATCATAAAACAAGTAAGGAGGGACGTTGATCCAATCGAGTTGGGAGTTCGGATAAACAAAATAACTATACTTAAAAATCAACGAATTGTCATCAATTGTGACTCCCAACAAGATCAACAAACTCTAAAGACCGCCATCCGAGACACCTGTAATAAATTAACTGTGTCAACACCTTCAGTGAAAAAACCACAGCTACGACTAATAGGTGTTACTACAGACTTGACCGACGAAAAATTAGTAAGGGCCATAGCAAGCCAAAATAGTAAACTGACAACAGACCTCACGGAGGAACAAAAAGCAGTCAAAGTCGTCCGTCGCACAAAAGGCAGAATTCGAGAATTGACAAACGTCATTCTCGAGGTATCACCTCAAATGTGGTCAAAACTAAGGGAACAGAAATTGCGCATTGGTTACCAGATAGTGTCTTGTGTTGACCAGTCTCCATTAACACAGTGTTACAGATGTTTGAGCTTTAATCATACGGCGAAAAACTGTAACAATAAACTGTGTTGTGGATATTGTTCAGAAGAACATGACACTAGGGAATGCACAAAACAAAACACTGTCACCAAGTGCTGTAATTGTAAAAACTTGAAAAGGGAAAACATCGCCCATCCAGCATATAGCTCGCAATGCCCAGAATGGATCAAATGGGATAAAATTGCGAGATCCTCTGTCTCGTATTGCTGAGAGTCAGGCGACACAACATCCCCCACAGTACTTAAAAATTGTCTAGCCCCAAATACAGAGATAAAAATAGTTTAGTATAACCTGGATCGTGGGCGCGCGGCCACACAAGAGTGTTTACGGGTAGCCACGATGCAGGGATATTCAATCATTTTGATGCAAGAACCCTATGTGGGATCAAAGGCACACGTTACTCTAGGATCTCAGTACCAAGTTATTCAAAAAATAACAAGTAACATTTTAAAACCAGTAAGATCGGCAATTGTTGTCACTAACCCAAACATCCAATGTACCATTAATCCAGACTTATTAACAGAAGATATAGTAGGAGTAACACTTAAATTAAACCATATTAAGATTGGACTGATCAACATCTACCTACACGAAAAGGGAGGAAAGGAAGAAATGTCAACCATCAAGAAAGTCATAACGTCAATGGACACCAACGAATTCATAATAGGAGGAGATGCAAATGCCAACAGTATCTGGTGGGGATGCGTTGCAGATGACAAAAGAGGAACCTGTATAACTGAGACATTGGCTGAACTAAACCTGGAAATACTAAATATAGGTACGACTCCAACGTTTAGTGCTTATAGAATGGGCATACTTTGTTCTAGCATTATCGATATCACTGCTTGTTCAGCTTCCCTACTACAAAAAATTAAAAACTGGAGAGTAGACGACACATTCTGCACGTTATCTAATCATAAGCCTATCCTGTACCAGATGGAACTCGAGAATATAAAACTAGACAAAGTAATCAGCGTTACAAGAAAATATCACACAAAAAAAGTAAATTGGGTGCACTTCAAAACAGAACTGACTAAAGAATTAGAAGAAATAGGTATCAATAGAGATAAAATCACAGTAATAAACACAGAGCAAGAACTGGACAACTTAGTTGATGACTACATGCAGGCTATAATATCTACAAGCGATAAAATAATCCCGCATCTAAGGGAAAAAAGAATTGGTAAATCACGAGTCTGGTGGACTAAGGAACTAAATGACTTAAAATCAGAAATGATTAGAAGAAGACGTAGAATAAAGAACGTACATCCGAGAAGAAAAGAATACGTCATAGACGAATATTTAAAAGCAAAAGAACAATACACGCGAAGTATCGAAGAGGTAGCAACAAAGAGCTGGAAAAACCTATGCTCAACGGAAGAGAAAGAAAGCGTCTGGCAAAGAACTTACCGCATTCTGAAAGTATGCTCCAACAAAGAAGATGATAAACTGCTCCGAAACCCAAGTGGTAAAATAATATCCGAAAGAGAATCAGCAGAACTACTAGCTGAAACGCTTTTTCCATGGGACACCATTGAAACTGACACCGAAGAACATAAAGTACTAAGGACCACCACCCAGGAACTAGCAATAAAATTAAAAAACTCTAAGATAGAAATAAAACCATTCACTAGGCATGAAATAGAAAGTATATTCCGAAACATGAGCCCAATGAAAGCCCCAGGAGGAGATGGATTAACTTCAGACATATGCCAAGCAGCATATGAAAGCCAACCAGATACTTTATTAGCATTGTATAATCAATGCCTTCAACTCGGATACTTCCCAAAGCTGTTTAAAATAGCCACAATAAAAATTTTACCAAAATCTAATAAAGAAGACTATTCTGTTCCCAAATCTTACCGGCCTATAGGTCTTTTACCAGTGCTCGGAAAGGTATTAGAGAAGCTGTTCGTTAACAGATTACAGTGGCAACTTGGAAATGAAAGGAAACTCAATAACAAGCAGTATGGATTCACACCACAAAGAGGAACCGAAGATGCACTTTACGATGCTATTACATGTATCAAAAATGGGCTAAAAAACAAAGATATAGTAGTATTGGTATCACTGGACATCGAAGGCGCATTCGACAACGCGTGGTGGCCAGTAATAGTTAACGAACTTCAAGCCAAACAGGTAGAACCATCAATGCTAAGGCTTATTACCAGCTACTTATCTGACAGGGAGATACGGCTAAGATATGCGGGAGAGGAAATAAGACGAGCCACAAACAAAGGCTGTATACAGGGATCAACATGCGGACCAATCATGTCGAATATCCAACTGGATCCCATGCTGCAAGAAACACAAAGCCTCAACACTCATGTTCAAGCATTTGCAGACGATATACTAATAATAGCGACGAACAAAAATGGGGAGACAATAGAAAAAGAATTAAATAATACATTAAAGATAATTTCAGAATGGGGTAAGAGGCACAAAATGAAATTCGCACCGCACAAAACACAGGCAATACTGATAACAAAGAAACTAAAATATCATCAACCCGTAATCAAACTGGAAGGCGTCGAACTACAATTCTCACACCAACTTAAAATATTAGGCTTAATTATAGATCGCAACCTAAACTTCAAACCGCATATCAATGAAGTCAGCAGGAAAGCAATAAATCTATATAAAACAATATCTCGTGCAACGAGAACACAATGGGGTCTGAATTCAGAGATAGTAAGACTTATCTACCTGGCAGTTGTGGAGCCGACTGTACTATATGCCGCCAACTGCTGGGCAGAAACAACTGACAGACGGTACATAGAACGCATCTTAAACAGGTTGACACGACTCTTTAGTATACGCATCAGTAAAGGCCACAAAACGAATTCGCTCATTTCGAGCACACTATTTGCACAAATCATTCCCTTAGCACTAAGAGCCAAAGAAAATGCCCACTTATATGAAGTAAAGCGAGGAAAGCCCATAGATCATTTACCAGGAAGGCAACTCGAAATAAAAATAAGTCCGTTTGACCTACCACACCCCTCAGAGAGAGAAACATTAAAATATCAGCTCATCAACATCCAAGAAGATATAGAAACAATAGATAACGACTGGCCCAAAATTTTTACCGATGGAAGCAAAATCAACAATAAAGTGGGAGCGGCAATAACAGTATGGACCAATGGAACAGAAATATACAAAAAAATGTTCAGGCTAGAAAGTTACTGTAGTGTTTTTCAAGCGGAATTAGCAGCCATATTGAAAGCAATAAGATATGCAACATCTAAAAATTATCGCAAAGTAAACATATTAAGCGACTCAAGATCAGCTTTGGAGTGCATCTGCGATCCGACCTCAAAACACCCAATAGCGGTAGAAATTCGAAACGAAATAAAAGATAATAAGAATCAAGAGGGCAACATCCAATTATACTGGATAAAAGCACACAGCGGGATTGCCGGTAATGAAAGAGCCGACGAACTGGCAAAACGTGCAGCAGCAAACAACAAGCAAAGACCAGAATATGACCTTTTCCCATTGTCTTATACAAAGCACCTCACCAGACAATCTACCCTGCAAATATGGCAACGGAAATATGAAGAAACTCCGACAAGCAACATCACAAAGGCGTTTTTTCCAAATATTATCACAGCATATAAAGTACTTAGGTCAATCAAAATAACAAACTTAATAACGCAATTATTTACTGGTCATGGAGGAAATAAAGCATATTTGTACCGTTTTAAATTATCGTCATCCCCAAGCTGCACTTGTGACGGAACGGTAGAACAATCGATCGAACACTTAATAATTGAATGCCCGCGTTTCGGAAGAATGCGATACGAATGCGAGTGCAAAATGGGAATGATTGTAAGCAAAACAATACTGTCTAGCATAATGGAGGACAATAATTGCCGATCGATCTTTATGGAATTTGCGCTAAAAGTGTTAAAAATCGTAAATGCAAAAAACGGGAGTAAAATAATAAGTTAAACAAAACAAAACAATATAATGATAAGATATATTAGATCAATAAAATAATAAAATTAAGATACATTAGATATATAATAATAAAATAAAAAAAAACTGTATAAATAATATAAAGGGCACATGACTTGACTTAGTATTAAGCCTTAATATTATATTGTATTAGACCTTAGCCCTTAGCCCTTATTATTGTACTATATTATAATACTATATAATATATAGACCCTACACATGACTTAGTATTAAGTAACATAGTGATTAAGATGTACACTATTTGATTAAATTAAACTGTATACAAGTCAAAACATAGTTAATTATAAGACACAATTGTTGTAAACGCATAAAAGAAAAAAAGCGTAAGTGAAAAAAAAATATAAAGAAAAAAAAAGGGAAAAGAAAAGAGTAAGCAGAAAGACAAAAAAAAAACATAATAAAAAAAATCATGTAAATCTACCATTAAAAACAAACACTTGTATGTAAGATATCATTGAAAATATTGTTACTAACAAACCATCGCCATAGAAGTTAAAAGCGTCAAACCGTATAATATATGCATATAAATATAATATAAATAAAAAGAAACATATAGTATAATATATAGTATAGTAATTGTTAGCGTCATAAAGTACGTAAATATTGCAGTGTAATTATGCTTCCTCAAGAAAATAGAAAGTACGTAAACAATTGAAGTAGGAATGAAAGCACTATACGTGCGACAAAAAAAAAAAAAAAAACTTAGTAAAAATGATACTTAGCATAATATAAAAGTAAGAAAGGTACTGCAGAATAGCAGTAGTTAACATAGGAAAAAAAAAAATACCTAACCTAACCTAACCTAACCTAACCAACGATACCGGGCTGGTGAAACAGCCGGTGTCACCCGGGTCTTTTTCCCGGACGCGATAGCCGCATACCGTGTCATCGGTAAAATAAAGGTGGACAGATTTGTCACTCAGGTATTGTCGGGGCACGGTGGATTCTCCGAGTACTTGCATCGTTTCAAGTGTAAGGAGAGTCCATCGTGCGTCTGCGATCCTGCGTGTTCGGAGTCTGTTCTCCAGGTCCTCCTGGACTGCCCGGCCCATGACCGTGAGAGGCAGGAACTGGAGTTCTTATTGGACTGCAAACTGGAAGTAAGTACGCTTCCGGATATTGTACTGGGTAAAAATAGAGACTTGTTCCTCAAATTTTGTAAAAACTGTGCATAGCTGTAAATAAAAGAAATAGAGTGTAAGTTACGCTAAGTAATTATATTGATATATAAATATATTAGCATAAATAAATTGTAATTAGGAAAATAGTTTTAAGTTAGCATTAATGATGATGTAATTAAAGTTTTATTGTTCCCCCCCTTCACTGTCCCCGCCCCCCTTTGTGTTTCAATTAGAATGTAAGTACACTATGGCCTTCAGCCCATGATTGAAAGATGATGTAAGCGAGATGAAAATGGGATGCTGAATGGCTGACGATCAGAGTATAAGATATGATGTATGAATGAGTTTTGAAGATAAATAAACAAATAAGGTAAAAAAGACAAATTGTAAAAACAGTCTCCCAAAGTCTCAGGGAGGTCTATTAAAAAAAAAAAAAAAAAAAAAAAAAAAAAAAAAAAAAAAAACCTAACCTAACCTAACCTAACCTAACCTAACCTAACCTAACCTAACCTAACCTAACCTAACCTAACCTAACCGAACCTAACCTAACCTAACCTAACCTAACCTAACAATACCTGATTGCCAAAGAGGAGTACACAAGGAATATAGAAAGAGCTTCTACAAAGAGCTGGAAGGAATTGTGTACCAAGGAAGAAAAAGAAACTATCTGGCAACGAACGTATCGCATCTTAAAAGTCTGCACGAACAGGGAGGAAGACAAACTACTGAGGGACCAAAATGGGGAACTCTTATCGACAAAAGAATCAGCAGTTCTTCTAGCTAAAACATTTTACCCAGATGATAATAGTAACACGGACACAGAAGAACAGACAGAAATAAGGGAGAAAGTAAAAGAATTTATTACTCAGATTAATAACCAACAGATTGACACCACGCAACCGTTTACAAAAGTCGAAGTAGAACACATACTGAATAACATGAACCCAAAGAAAGCACCAGGGGAAGATGGACTTACATCGGATATATGCCAAGAATCATACAACAGCAAGCCAGATCTTCTTGTCTCTCTTTACAATAAATGCCTTACATTGGGTTACTTTCCTCACAACTGGAAAAAAGCGACAATTAAAGTGATACCTAAATCGAACAAAGATGACTATACACATCCTAAATCATATCGCCCCATCGGTCTTTTGCCAGTACTGGGAAAGATATTAGAAAAACTTTTCACGAACAGAGTTCAATGGCAGTTAGGCAACGAAGAAAAAATGAATCAGAGACAATACGGATTTACACCACAACGTAGTACCGAGGACGCATTGTACGACATTATAACACTGATAAAAGAAGGACTTCGAAGGAAAGAGATAATTGTACTGATATCATTAGACATCGAAGGTGCTTTCGACAATGCATGGTGGCCTGCAATTATTACTGAACTAAGAAACAAACAAGTTGAACCTACAATGCTAAAACTCATAGTAAGCTACCTATCAGATCGCGAAATAAACTTAAGCTACGCCAATGAAAAAGTCACTACAAAAACCAGTAAGGGATGCATTCAAGGATCAACTTGCGGCCCCATGCTGTGGAATATCCAACTTGATCCCTTACTCCAGGCAACAGAAAACTCAGTAGTCCATGTACAAGCCTTTGCAGACGACATTTTAATAATAGCTTCGAATAAAGATGGCCAAAAGCTCGAAAAAGATATTAATGATACTCTTAAAACAATACTAGAATGGGGACAAAAACACAAGTTTAAATTTGCCCCACATAAGACTCAAAGTACTATAATTACCAAAAAACTAAAATTTCACTGTCCCAAACTACTAATGCATGGAGTAACCTTAGCATATACAGATCAACTCAAAATTCTTGGATTAATAATTGACAAAAACCTTACCTTTAAGCTACATTTAGATTATATTTGCAGTAAAGCGGTTCGACTCTACAAGATAGTATCAAGAGCAGCAAGACCGCAATGGGGTCTTAACTCGGACATAGTAAGAACTATCTACCAGGCTGTAGTCGAACCAACAATTTTGTACGCCGCGAGCTGCTGGGCTGAAGCCACAAACAAAAAACATATAAATCGAATGCTTAATAGATTTACACGAATGTTTAGCATTCGTATTTGCAAAGACCATAAAACCATTTCTCTTGTTTCCAGTGCGCTACTAGCTCAGATCATACCTCTAGCGCTTCGAGCTAGAGAAAACGCCGAAGTATATGAAATAAAAAGAGGCAAGCCCATCGAGTCACTCCCGGGGAGACATTTGGAGATGAGAATCAGTCCTTTCCACCTACCACACCCCTCATTAAGAACTAAGAGAGAGTACAAGTTAATAACGTGCCAAGAAAACATCGACCAAATTGATAATGAATGGCCAAAACTTTTCACAGATGGCAGCAAAATAGATAATAAGGTAGGTGCGGCTATTTCGGTATGGCAAAATGGAACAGAAATCAAAACCATTACCTGTAGGCTCGAAAGCTACTGCAGCGTTTACCAAGCCGAACTAATTGCTATTCTGAAGGCTGTCACGTATATATTAGAAAATAAAAACTTAAAAGCCAACATCCTTAGTGACTCGAAATCAGCAGTAATAAGTGTTTGTAACCCTATGTCACTTAATCCTATTGCAGCTGAGATTTCATCGAAGCTAAATATCATTGAAAATAGAGAGGGTAAAGTCCAGATATACTGGATAAAAGCTCATTGTGGTTTATTAGGTAACGAGAGAGCAGATGAGCTGGCTAAATACGCCGCTACTAGCAAGATACAGAGGGCAACCTATGACTTATTCCCATTGTCTTACGCCAAACACCTCACCAGGAGCAACACTCTACGAAGATGGCAAAGCAGATATGAAGAAGCAGCAACCAGTGGAACTATAAGAACTTTCTTCCCAAACGTTGTAACAGCTTATAAGATTTTAAAAAATATAAAAATTACAAATATTGTAACTCAATTGTTCACTGGTCACGGAGGCAATAAGGCCTATCTCTTTAGATTTAAGATTTCACCATCCCCGTATTGCACATGCGATCACAGCACAGAACAAACAATAGAACATTTAATTATAGACTGTCCGCGATTTGGAAAAAAACGATATGAGTGTGAATGCAATATGGGAATGAACATAGCACGTAAGAACTTAAGTACTATTATGGGGGACATCGATTGCAGATATCACTTCATACACTTTGCTCTCTCAATACTAAAAGTTATTAATAAAGAGAATGGGAGCACTGTAATAGAATAAATTTAAGGCTCTGCAAGAGTCCCCAAAATAGGACTAGTTATAGTTATGAGTGCGAACTGTTACTAAAATACAGTAATGTAATAGTAATAATGTGTTAAGTGCATGGAAAATAATAAAATTAGTTTAATAATAACTTGTAAGGAAAAAAAAAGAAGAAAAAAAAAAGTTCTAGCAGATTTTCTTAAGGATTGTCACAAAAATAGGACTAGATAAGTGTAGAAAGCAAAGCCTTATACTGAGGTTTAGGTTACTTATTCATTCCGATCATGAAAGAAATAGACTTACCTCTACAGGCCTATCACCGTCCCCCTACTGTACTTGCGATGAAAGCATAGATAAAAAAAAAAACTATCTGAGTTCGACTGCAGTATGGGAATGGATATAGACTAAGAAACAGTTTTATTATGGTAGATGACTATTGCAGATCTTACTTTATGCGTGAATTCGCAACAGTGTAAGAATATAGTTCCTAAATACAAATATGTAAAAGTAATAATACAAGGCTTAAAATAATATAGTATTGTGAAAATATCATGTAAATAGAAAATAGTTAATAAGGAAAGTAACTAGTAATTTGTATCCACATACTATCCTGAGATGTAGAAATACCGATTAATTATTCTATAAATGTAAATAACAAACATTGGAAAATTTGAATGTCACATAAATAAGAGATAGAAAGTCATGCTTTAAAAGCAGTTATACGTTATAAGTTATGAGAAGTTATGTTAAGTATATGAGCTGTGTGAAGTAACGATGTGTAAACTTATAAGAGAATAAGCGCGGAGGAAAAAAAAAAAAAAAAAAAAACAATGCAGAACTAATAAAAAAAGAGGACAAATAAAAAGAAATAGCAAAAAGAGTACCGCAGAATAGTGGTAGTAGTATTTAAAAAAAAAAAAAAAAAAAAAAAAAATGGTATGGTAAAATTTTATGAAACAGTGTCGTGTTATACATCAAAAGTTGCGGAATTTGACGCTCTATACAGTGGTGTAAATTGTTTGTAAATAGATCGACTGTGTAAAAAGTTAAGTGCAAATAAGTGCCTAAAATTCACATTTTCTTGCCCACGCCCGATTTTTTTTTGTTCGAGGACGTATAGGTTTTATTTGTTTAATAAGTGTAAATATGTTAGTTCTAAGTTTGTGCCAAATTTCAGAATTTTTCTATGTGTAAAACCTGAGTTATTAACATTTTTCCAAAATACACGTGGTCGGTGATTTTAAGTTAGAGTGACGTGCTATATATCAAAAGACGCGGATTTTGACGCTTTATAACATAGTGAAAACCGCATAAAGCGGCGGCTTTAGGAAAAAAAGTTATTTAAAAAAAAGTGATTGAAAATGTATATTTCCTGGCCTACACCCAATCATTGACATGTATTGTACAGTTTTTATTAGTGGAATAAGTGAACACGAGTAACATCTAAGAGCTCACCAAATTTGAGAATTTTCCGTGCAGGAAAAACCGATTTTCCAACGGTTTTCCGTAAACCACGTGGTCGGCCATTTTGAAAACCAGGAGTGAGCGGCTGGTTCCAAAACTGCATTTCGAAGGACAATCAACAGGTGAACTCAAAATTATAAACAGTTTTTCCGGCAATCGCACCGTTTTATCATAAATTGACTTTTTAACCTTATCAATCAGGGTACTCTAACTTTCAAAATTCTATATCTTTAGAAGGGATAATACTAAAATTTTGCTCTTAGTGTCATTAGATAGCGCACTTAATACACTATAAACCCTCAAAATTTCATAATTTTACGTTTATTAGTTCAAAAGTTGCAAAAGTTTTCCATTTTTAAAAATAGTTTTCCGTCCAAAATGTGCAATTTTTCTACATTTAGACCTAATTATCTCGCAAACGGTGCAAGATAGCCCAATTTTGAGGTCATTTTTGGCGGATATATATAATATTAAAATAAAATATTATATATTACCTGTTGGACCTCCAGAACCCCCCCACCCCCACCCCCTAGGCCTAAGTTGTTACTTCTATATGTGTAAAAACTAATAATTACCGTGTGCTTGAACTTTGTTACTCTGAAACATTATAACATGATAGTACCATCAGTGCAGTGATTTTTCGAAGTGGAGGAAACCCCCCCCCCCCACCAGTGACGCCCTCTTAGCGATATAAACATTTTGTTGTAGAACATGGACTAATTAACTAGCAAGACTCGTCATCATCGTCATCTTCTGACCCTACGGCTCATAAGGATCCCACTAGTGAGACCACTCCGCCCCCCCCTGCCTGCCTATGTGATTTGAGTGTGGTCGAACTAATGACCCAATACAGTGAAATTAAAATCCTTGCTTAACTTCGTTTTTATTGTATTTTCTTTATTTTATTCTATCTTTAATTAGTGCTTTTATTATAATGGCTCCTGGTTGTAACGAATCACCTATTTTGCCCGCGACTGCGGAAGAAGTCACAAGTATTTCCAAGTACAACGAAGTGGTTAATAAGTTAGCAACATGCATTGTAAGTGCAGTAAATGATGCTAAGAGTGTAACGGCCGCAAACAAACGACTGATTACAATTGCGGCAGAGGAAATACGGAGGGCTAATTTGGTCCTTACTAACATTACTTCCACGATTTCGAACCCTGCTGAGGAACTGAAAAATGACATAATCACGAGTGTTAGAGAGGAGATTAATCAGTTAAAGAAATCAATCAACAATACCGCCCAGAATCGCTCATCGTATGCTGAAGTTGCGTCATCGAACGTTCACCAATCTACAACAAAAAACAAACAAACTGCAGCCCCACCTATTACCAAGCCAGCGATAATTGTCACCCCCAAAACAAAAGTCCGAAATAAACAGGAAGCAATAAATGTTTGGCGTAAAAGCATAAGCATAAGCGCTTCGAAATATGCACCGACTCGCGTCCAAGCTGTATCTAACAATAAAGTTCGCGTCGAGTTCGATAGCGAACAGGATCGAGACGAAACTTTGAAACGCCTTTCCGATTCGAAGGATGTGACTGCTGAACCGGCAAGAAAGTTTAGGCCCATGATCATTCTTAAAGGAATCTCTGTGGACACGGCATCTGAGGAGCTACTCGATATCATTAAATTCCAGAATGCTGACCTAACCGAACTTATCACGCAACAAGACGACTTAAGACTATGTTTTAAACGCATGAATAAAAACCCCAATCTATACAACGCGGTTTTCAGAGTTCAACCAAATCTTTGGCGGAAAATCATTAACATAGGAAGATTATCTATAGACCACCAGCGTATTCATGTTGAAGAATTCTCACCATTTATGCAGTGCCATAAATGTTATCAATTTGGACACACTAAAAATAAATGCACTGCAGAGAACACAGTTTGCGGATATTGTTCCGAAACCACTCACCATATTTTTAACTGTCCTCATACAGCCAATTGCGCGCACAGTGCACTAACTGCGTAGCACATAACAGCAAATTTAACACAAAATTAGAGACCAAACATAAGGCCACATCCACTTTCTGCCCGAGACTGCGAATCATGAGAGAAAAAATACTAAACCGCATCGATTATGGATCAAACCAATAATTTCAAAGTTCTACAGTGTAATCTAGACAGATCCAAACAAAGTCAACATGAATTTATTACTTCCTTTATGGCTGGTCAATACCAAATGGCTTTAGTAGCAGAACCTTAGTTGGATCTGACAATGTCGTCAAATCAATTCCTGGCATAAACATCTTCCAGTTTCCCAATGGAAAAAGAGTCAAGGCATGCATTATAGCAAAAGCGAGTTGTGGACCCATACTGGGATTATCCCAATTCTCATCCGCCAATATGAGTGTAGTACAGATCAACATCAATGGTCGAAGGTTATACATAGCTTCGGTCTATATTGAACCCAATAGCGATGAAGACAATACCTTACAACGGTTAGACAACTTCCTAAAAATGACATGCAACAACCACCAGTTGGTGGGTGGTGATTTCAACGGCTGGCATCCGATATGGGGCAGCGACCGTTCAAATTCACGTGGCAATAAAATAGTAAACATTGCATATGGTAACAATATGTTTTTATGCAACAAAGGAGACACTCCCACTTTTGAAACTATCTCGCATGGTCAAATTCGTCATTCATTCATAGACCTCACCATGGCCTCTAGCACCATATACGATCAGGTACTTGACTGGAGAGTTGACATCGACATTTGTCCCTCCTCACAACACAGGGCCATTGTGTTCTCAATCTGTACTCTAAGAAGAAGAAGCAACTCCGGTAAAAGTACCACTACATTCAGATATAACACAAAGAGAGTCAACTGGGATGAGCTAAGATCTCCATTCATAAGCATGATAGAAGAACGTTTGCCCCGTAATGTCGTTATTGAAAGCTTGGATGAAATTGAATTAGAAAAGTATATCAACCATATTACCTCTATTATACAGACAATCTGCGACAAGTTAATTTCAAAGTCAAATGCCCAAAATTATCGTTGCCCGTGGTGGACGGAGGAACTTGAAAAACTCAAGAAGGATGTAATTCGTAACCACCATCAAATTCAAAAACTTATTCGTCAGAAAAGGCCTATAGAGAGCGTGCTGGAAGAAAAAACACGACTTAAAGAGGCATACTCCAAAGCATTTAGAGAAACTTCCACTAGACATTTCAGGGATTTCTGTGAAAAACAGGGCAAGGAAGATGTCTGGTCAGTCACTAATAAAATAATAAAGTCAGGACCTCCAATACAACCTCCAGTCACCCTGAAAAGGAGCAACGGCACATTTACCACCACCAGTTCAGAAACAGCTCAAGAACTTCTCAATCAATTTTATCCGGACGAAGACTTGAATGATACCCCACAACATACGGAAATGAGGAACTTTTCCTTGGCCATGCCGGATACACCGAATGAACCCTTATTCGAATTCGAACAGATCATATCATGCCTTAATAGTATTAATCCCAAAAAGGCTCCCGGCACCGATCATCTTACTGCAGATATCTGCCTACTCTTCGCAAACTCCTTTCCACATTTAATCACATCTGTTATGAACCAATGTCTGAGACTCGGTTACTTTCCCGAAATATGGAAGCAGGCGTTTATAAAAATTATACCCAAACCTAATAAAGAAATATATACAGATGTATCTTCATTCCGTCCTATTGGTCTAATAAACGTCTTTGCCAAACTATTAGAGAAACTCATCACACGTAGGCTTACATATTTTATGTACTGCAATAAATTATTCAAACCGGCCCAATTTGGATTCAGAGAACAAACCTCGACTGTCCATGCACTCAGTAATATGATTAATAAAATCTCTCACGCCATAAATAACAAGGAACATGTTACGGTTATTTCACTTGACATAAAAGCTGCGTTCGATAATGCTTGGTGGCCGTCTATATATAGAAAACTCCATAAAATTAATTGTCCTCGAAATATTTACAAAATTTTACACAGTTATTTTCAAAGTCGTAAAGCAACAATTAATATTTGTGATAGCTCAGTGAGTAAAATCTTAACGAGGGGGTGCGTACAAGGTTCGGTATGCGGCCCATTTTTATGGAATCTCGTAGTGGATGAACTCCTAGATATGAAAATGCCACCGAATTGCAATATCCAAGCGTTTGCGGACGACATCCTTCTTGTATCGCATGATAAGAATATTAATAACCTACAACACAATACTAATCAAGCTCTCGCCATGATCACAAACTGGGGAAGGAACATGAAACTCACTTTTAGAGCTACGAAAACTCAGTGTATCGCATTTTCCAACAAGGCTGCTAGATGTGAACTTCATATGTCAGGACATAAAATACAATTTTCCAGAGAAATCAAACTCTTTGGAGTCGTTATAGTCAGGAAACTAAAATTCATTAAACATGTTGATTATATAATAAACAAAGCTCGCAAATTATACAGCAAACTCATAATATTCGTCAAACCTACTTGGGGAATCCATGCAGAAAATATCGATATTATTTATAAACACGTAATACAACCCATAATTTGTTATGCAGCTTCTATCTGGCAGTCAGCCCTTAAATACACATGCGTAATCAATAAACTACTTACCCTGCAGCGCGGATTCGCAATAAATATTATTCGGGGTTTCCGAACTGTAAGTACTGTAACCAGTATATCCCTTGCACAACTTAGTCCTTTACCTGCCAAAATAGCAGAAATGGCTGATAACGAATTAACAAGAATATCGCGGAAATCACAATATCTCCCAAATGACATCACTCTGGACACACCGGCCGAACCCGAGAAGCTTTTGCACCCATCTTTGCGAAAATCAATTAAATACTGTGAAGAATCATCCCTAAATGACATTGAAAACATCGAAAGTCAAAATGGTTATCGCATATTTACGGATGGAAGCAAACACGATGAAAAGGTGGGTGCAGCGATGGTCGTATATAAGCCTGATGGACGTCAACTTATTCGGAAATTCAAATTACACCACTCCTGCTCAGTGTTCCAAGCTGAACTCCTTGCCATCATGAAATCCTGTAGATGGGTGTTGGATAATAATACCACTCCCGCATACATTTTCTCAGACAGCAAATCCGGTTTACAGGAAATTGCCAATCCAAATAGTTATAACTCTCTCGTCGTGGTAATCCACAAAATCTTACACTAATGTCAAACTAAAAATCTTAGTATTAAACTCCTCGGGGTAAAAGGACACTCGGGCATCCCTGGAAATGAAACAGCAGATCTAGCCGCCAAAAGCGCTGCCACTTCTCACCGTGCATACGATTTCACTCTTTCTTTTTTTTTTTTAATTTATTTATATCATTATAGTAAATACATGAGTTAAATGTAATTAACTTGCAAAAACCGTGAGGTTTGTCCGCAAGTTACAGTCTCACACAATTAAAGGTATAGTACAATCACATACATTATACAAACTATCAATACAATCATCTAATTGATGGCTGCTTATAAACAGTAACAATAATATTAAGTATATACGTACATATTTTTACGTGATAAATTTCAAATCACCGTAATTGCAAATCACCGGCGTTCTGGACGGGCCGTAATGACAGAAAAACCGGTTTCTGTGAGCTCACATGAGCGTGACAATTTGATCGTTCTTATCGGGCGATCGGATTATTTAGTTGCAGAAGCAGTATACAGGTTGGTGCAAAAACTGTGAATTGATCTTTTTTTATCATTATTTATAGTTTTTCATTTTTGATTTGTTTTTATTTCAGTTGCAAGTATACATATTTAATCTATAAATATAAGAGCTATATGTACATATATTTATAAAAATTAGAACAATTAATTGATGATTTTATAAGTATATTATATAATTTTGTATTTAATATTTATTTACTCCCGTTGTAGCTGTTCATAGAAATATTTTTTGAATTTGTTTTTGTAGTTATCTTCATTGATATCTGAGAGTATCGTGGGGGTTATTTGGTTCATTAAAGTAGGAATTAAATATCTATTTGTACGTTTACCATAGTAGTTATATATTTTAAATGTTACGAGTTTATTTTGTATAACTTTTCTTGTAATAGTTTTATGGTTAGTTTTAACTTGCACTTTTTTATTGTGAAATTGTTCTATTAGTATTAGCATCTGACATTTCGTGTGTATAGGCAATACTTTGCAAAATTTAAATATTCCATTAATATTGTTTTCACTGTATATTTTTGTTTTTACTTTCTTAGGTATAATTATTTTCAATATTCTGATTTGTAGGTTATATATTTTATCTAAGTAAGTTTTAAATGTTTTTCCATAACTTGTAATGCCATAAGAAATAAGAGACTCAGCAAGAGCGTTATACAGATTTATAAGGATGGGAAATGGCATTTTGTATTTTAGTATTGCAAACTTTGCTAGCATAGCCCGTAGCTTGTTACATACATGCTCAACGTGTTTACCCCAATTGAATCTTTCATCCACAATCAGACCTAGGTATTTATAAGTGTTAACTTGTTCTAGAGGATTACAATTACAGTTAGTATTTAATTTAGACGAACTATGAAGGCAGTCGTGGCTGTGTGCTAGTATTTTTATTGGTCTTTCATATTTGTTAGAGTGTATCGAGCGTACATGTATAATTTTAGTTTTAGCAGAATTTAATACGAGTCCCGCGTCATGTGACCACATACAGAGGTTAGTAAAGTCATGTTGTAACATTTTTTCTGCTTTTGCTATGTCTTTATTGCCTATTACTAGGCAAGTATCGTCTGCATATTGATACACTGAACTATGTTTAATCACATTCCTCATATCATTTACAAAGGCCAGATAGTGTAAAGGGCCAAGAACCGATCTCTGAGCTGTTCCCGTAGTTACAGGTATTTCATCACTGTAATCATTTTCAATTCTCACCCGGTATTTTCTATCTTTGAGGTAATTTTCACACCACCTGAGTAAAGGCCCGCGTATGCCTGTATTTTCCAGTTTTTGTATTAATAAATCGTGTTTCAGAGTATCAAATGCTTTGCTGTAGTCAATAAATAAAAGAATTATGTGTTGTTTGTTGTCTAAATAAGTATTAATTTCATCGGTAAATTTTGATAACAAAGAAGTAGTTGAATTATTTTTTTGAAAGCCAAACTGGGTGCTGGACAGAACGTCATTCGATATATAATATTTATGTATCTGACTACATATATATTTTTCAACTATTTTGTCTATTACAGGAAGTATTGTAATTGGCCTATAATTGTCATAATCACAGTGCGACCCCTTTTTGTAGATGGGTCTCACTATTCCTACCTTTAATTCTGAGGGATAAATACCAGAATGAACACTAGTATTAATCAACTTTGCAATTGCTGTTGTGATTTTTTCACATAATGATTTTATGTCTATACAGCGAATCTGGTCTGCTCCAGCGGATTTGTTTGTGTTCAATTTCTGGATTATTTTATTTATGCTCTTGCCATCTGCTGCTTTAAACCGCATTGAACTATTCTGAGGAAATATGTACTCTGCTTGATCTAAAAGGTTTTGTTTACAGTTGGGTAGTATTTTTTCAACATTTTTAACAAAATCTTTACCAAAATTATTTGCCAATTGTTTAGCTGTTAATTTGTTTTTTTGAAAAGCCTTTAATATCGCCGCATCTAATGATTTATTTACTCTGCCTGTAATGGAATTCAGAATATTCCATAGCTTCCTTGGGTTATTTCTGTTATTATTTATTTCGTGATAATAGTATTTGTTTCGAGACATTTCAATAAGTTTATGTGTTTTATTCCTAATTTTATTAAACTCTAGTCTTAGTATTTTATCAGTTGTATCTTTTTTCCACTTGTTATATAGGTAGTCTCTTTTTTTCGCAGTAAAATTTTATCTTATTATTTATCCATCTTTCCTTATTTCTTTTACTATTTATGCTATTCTTTGTAGTATATTTAGAATTATTATAACAGTATTCAAAGCTATTTTGAATAAAGTTATATATCTCTATCGGACACTGCATATTATCAATCTTATTCCACTCGACGTTTTCGAGAAGTGATATTATTTTTTTGTTATTAATTAATTGTTTGAGTTTTGACTCAGCCTGTACGCTGCTGCTGGTAGCCTCAGTTCCGGCGCACGATAGCACGCACATGCGGTGATCTGCCAGTACTGTTCCAAGCGCAGCCGAGTAGATGTCAGACGTGCGCGATCTCGCGAATATGTGGTCAATACAACTCCGCGTGATTTTTTCATTTCGAATCTCTATTCTTGTAAAATCAGAAATCGCTCTCGTCAGACCACACTCGGCCAAGCAGCTTAAGTAGTAATCATGAATGTTATTTTTTAATTCCAGGTCAATATTTATGTCTCCGATTATGTACAAGTCAGAGTGTTTGATTAAATTGTGACATAGTAGTACTTTAAGTTCATTAATAAAGAGATGCTTGCTTTCATTAGGCGGTCGATATAATGCGCAAATGTGAGTCGTGTAGTGGTGGCAAGATTGGATGTTTACAATTAATGATTCACAGTGGGTTAATTTTAAGTTTAATGATTTCTTAAATTTACGCGAACACTACACATTGAATAAAACTATTATTTACGGATTTTATCGCGTTTAATATCTTTAATTTATTTTTATTATTATCCCGACGTTTCGGGTGCTTTACAGCGCCCATGGTCACGGGGGGGGACTGAGATGTTTGACGTCCCAATGTCATAGTTAGTCCGGCTACCTTCAGTTTTTTAATATTAATTTTTGGTCCGATTTACGCAAAACGAGCTTATAGTATCATGAAGTCTTGCAGTGGTATGCTTGGGTTTGGGTTTAATTTTGTTGATTATAGGATCCCAAGCAGATGGTAGCACCCAACCATCTTCTCTATTGAAATTTGGATGTTTTTTAATTTCAATAGCCTCGCGTATCATCCTTGGTAGGAATCGGTGTTCTTTTGCGAGAATTTGTGGTTTATCAAATCTAATGTAATGGTGGGGACGATCTTGAACATGTTCGCAGACTGCAGACTTCCCGGAGCGTCGGTGCTTCACATCAGCTATATGTTCCTTCACGCGGGTTTTTATAGATCTCTTTGTTTGACCTATGTAAGAGAGACCACATTCACAATCTAGCTTGTACACACCTGCATCTTGTAGAGTATGTAATATTCCTCTAGTAATATTCCTATTAAAGATATTAAACGAGATAAAATCCGTAAATAATAGTTTTATTTAATTTTAAGTTGTTTACTACTTCAAAACTGTGGCAATTTTTAATGTACATTATAATACCACCACCACGTCGCTGCTCACGAAGCTTGCTGCACATTTCATAACCGTTTATAGAAAATAATTGAGAGAGATTACTACTTATTGAAATTCCTACTTCAGTTAGTATAATGACGTCTATAGCTATTGGTGATTGGTTTATTGTTTGCAGTAATGCACTAAAGTTTTTGATAATAGATCTAATATTTATATGTACAATATTAAAAAGATTAGTATGTTTAGGTAGATAGGTGCTAAATTCACATAAATTTGCCGAATCATAAATTTCAGTTACTTCCAAAGTAGTGCCTAGTGCGTAAAGTTTCTACTATCGACTTACAATATGCTCCACCGCCATTTTGTCAATGTCACTTAGGTTTCGGATGATCACAGGCTTATCGTTATCATTCTTACGAACTAAAATTCTACCGCCCTGGAACCATATATATTTATAAGTAACCTTAAGTTTTTGCTTAGCTTGCCACAGAAGGGTTTTATTTGCACTGGATAGGGCACGTCGTATCATTATCTTTGTTCTTGCTATAGCAGGATCTGGACAGGAAACGATGTCCTCTGCAAGTATAGTTACTTTTCTTGCTGCTTTTATCCACTGGTGCACTTGTTCCTCCTGTTTCAAAGATACCTGGATTACGCCCTCCTTTCCATTTTTCCCCTTCAATCTTTTAACTGTGGTTATTTCTTTTTTTACAATATTTAACTTCGTTGCTAGTGTATTTAGGATAATTTCCGTATTTTCGTCTTTTATTTCGGGTACTCCTGCGACTTCAAATGTGTTATTAAGCTGTTTTTGCTCAAAGTTTGCAATGTATTGTTCCATAGCATCGATTTTCAGCTCTAGATGTTTATTTTGGTTTGTTAAATATGTATTCTTGTTTTCCAGTTCTTTTATTTTTCCGCTAATTGTCGCTAAAGTGTCCATTAATCCATCCATTTTTTGACAACAAAAGCTGAGCGCTTCATTTACTGAGCCTATTTCTTTCTTTACTGTTTTTTTAACCTCGAATGATATGTCGCTTAGTAACTTTCTCATCGCGTTGGATCCGTTGTCAGTTCCCTGTGTTAATAATAGTTCTTCGTCGTCTTCCTCTTCCTCCTCTTGTATGACAAATGACCTTTGCCTTGGAGTTTCACGGCGACAAACTTCGCAGGTCCATTCCAGATTCTCAGTGTTGCGCAGTGCTGCTAATTGCTTAGATGTTAGTCTGGTGCAGGCCTGGGTAGCATGCACAGTTTTTGAGCATGTGTTGCACTCGAGAATAGTGGATTTCTTGGCTATTAGTTTGTCACAGTTGTCACACTTGGGCATTTTTGCGTGTTTTTACTATAATTTCAAACTAAGGGTAGAAAAAAAAACTTTGTAAACGTAAACACAAGTCAGCTGTTTCGTACAACGTCACGAGCGAGACTTACAACGTCACGAGCGAGACTAACTCAATTTCCTATGAGCTACATCAGACATATAAACAGTCAACGCACAGCCGCTGAAATGAAATCATTTTATTCTCCAAACAACCAATCCATT